CACCAACAATGCCGTTGCGCCGCTGCTGCTGCTGCAGCGAGAGAGAGAGAAGGGACAAATGGCGGGTCGCGATCGGCGGTGGCGCGCAGGTGTCATCGACCATGGCGGCATCACGCCGAGCTGCCTCGCGGTGCGTTTCTCTCCTGGACCACGGGAGGATGGATGCATGTTTAATCCAAAAGTTTAAACTGATTAGAGAAAAAAGGATAATTCATTTTACTCCCTCCGTTTACGTCTTTGATTTTTTTAATCAAACTTACTTAAATTTGATTAAACAATTAGAAAAACTTTGCAACGTATCTAACACCAAATTAGTTTAATTGAAACTAACATTGAATATATTTTGAGAGCATGTTTGTTTTGTGTCGAAAATATTACTCTCTCCATCTCAAAATTTTTGACGCCGTTGACTTTTTTTAAAATGTTTGACCGTTCGTCTTATTTAAAAAATTTAAGTAATTATTAATTCTTTCCTATCATTTGATTTATTTGATTTATTGTTAGATATAATTTTATGTTTACATATAGTTTTACATATTTCACAAAAGTTTTTGAATAAGACGGACGGTCAAATATGTTTAAAAAATTCAACGGCGTCGAACATTTAGGAAAGGAGGGAGTTATATTTTTTTATAAAATTGATCAAACTTTTTTTAAAAAATGATTAGAAACAAATGAAAACAAATTCTAATATGAATGAGAGAAGGTATATTCCAACGGAGAGAGCTAAACAAACGCACGTACACATCGCGTTAAGTTTGTGCAGTAGATGGCGATTTGTTTTCTGTTTATTTTGGCATCTGCAGGTCATTGTTGATTTGTTGGCAATTATTGGCATGAACCGGTAAAATACTAAAATCAACGGGGAGGGTTGGATTGACCTGGCCTGGCTGCCTGCCTGCCTGCATAATATATCCCAGCTGGCCCATTATACCATGTGGTCACTGTTACAAATCTACAATATACCAGTTAAATTTAGATAGTCTAGTTGGCATGCACGCGACGGGACACCATACTGCTGCTCCATGTTGGCAATAACTATAATTGACCATTTAGAAAGTGCAGCACATTTCATAAACCAACTTAATATACAATAGTCATTTTGTAAAATGCAACATTATCAATTTCAACAACTTTTAGTACTACTCCGCACTACTCTCATCTAAACCAAGTGGCAGTAGACGGGGGTGAAAATGGTCGGAAACTATAGGAATCGGTAGCATCTCTTCGAAAACAACGCTCGGTTGTCCAATAATTGATCATATTTATCATTTAAACTATTCATTGTCAACATCAATACGATACGAAAAGAAATTACGAAAAATAAATTTTCACCCCATTGCTAATGGGCCCCTAGGCGAGCGTCCATACATTATATTCCTCTATCTTATTGTTTTGAACTGAAACAACAAAAGAACTGTCAAGTATATTTTAATAATTAGGAATAAAAACCCAGGTGTGTTACATCAAAAGAAAACAAAAGTCGATGAGAAAATCCAACGTCAAACATGACTTGCTGAACAAGCATGCCGCACACGTAACAACACTTCACACTAGCCCACCGACGCAGCATGCACGCCTAATCTCTCTACCTTATTCTCTCTCTCCAACGCACATGAGATGGCAACTCATCCCATCCGTGCACAACGAAGAGAAAAGATGCGGGAGAGTGGCTTCCCTTTGGAGAACCCCCTCCCCTCCCTCTCCCTCCTTTGGTGAGCTTCCTCCAATGAATAAGAGAACACTCAACGAGTCCCCTCCTCCACCTCCTTCCCACGAGCTTCTCCCAGCAAGATCTGGAAACTAGCTCAGCTCATTTCTTTGTCCGCCACCACTCATTGCGCCGCCACCCCCCTCGCTGCCGCGGCCAAAAGTGGTCAAAGTGCTAGAGTGCCCAAGCTTGGCCGGCCTACTTCCCCTCCTCTTTTCCCAACTTTGACCCACCACCATCACTTGTCCATCCCGGCCTTCATGGCAACTGAGCCCGATCCGCTCACTTCCCTCCTCTCCTCCCTGCCCATAAAAAACCCTGACCTATTGGAAAGCTTTCGCGCACGTTATGGGAGCGGTTGTTTGCGAATTGGGATTTCTAGTTGTTGCTCGCTAGCTAACTCCCACACATACACGTATATACGCGCGTAAGCACGCGCAAAAAAAAAAGTGTTTCTACAACGAATCGACTTGTTGTCGTGTGCATTTGGCATGTTGCCGCACACTAGCTAACTATGAAAAAAAATATGTAGTTGCAAATTATATATATAGTGAAAATCTGTAAACTACCGTTGGATCTATAAATGGACGTTTGAGATTTGTCCATGTTATCCAGAGTGTAAGTTTTACTCCCGGATTCAATCATGAGTAAAAATTTTACCAGGAGTAATTTTTTTTACTTTTGATGACGTGAATAAATCTCAGTCATCTATTTTTGAATTCAATGATAATTTTTAGATTTGCACTACATATATTTAGGGGTGAAAACGGTCACGGAAATTCCTGATCGACCAGGCGCCGTTTCCGTTTAAGTGGTACTGTTTCCGACCATACCCTTTTTTGCTATTTTTAAATTTTGTTTTTTCTAATTTCTTTCTGCATACTGAGCAGTTTAAATAATAAATATGGTCTATTACCGGCGAGCATCGTTTCCAAAGAGATACCACCGATTCCGACCGTTTCCGATCGTTTTCACCCCTACATATATTACATATATGCTTTGCGCATTGCGCTGCGTATTTTCCCAGCTGACTCGGCTTGCCAACTCGATCTACCGGCCAATCTCGCGTTCCTCGTGGCGGAGATGAGATGAGTTGAGATGAGATCACACCAACGGTAAACCCGCTCGCGCCGCCGCGCCGTGGCGTCCCAGACCGACGTACGTCCTCAACCACGGCAAGCAAACCTACCAACCTACGCGCACGCACTCGCGACGAAGTAGGCGTACGTAACCTGCAATTTGCACATATTATTGCCTCTCGGCGAAGGCTCCATCGGTTAATTCTCGAGTACACGGATATTATACTATATGGATGCTAATTAACTCCCCTGCGCTAAGTAATTACGTGTGCGCGTGTTCGATCTAATGCCGGAATTGAAGGTTAATCGATCGTCAAATCGCGTCCAGGTTGGACCGTGCGTACGTGCAGTGCAAACGCAATGCCTGCACGCCGTTAAATTTCCTTCCCGGCACGTACTGACAAATACTACAAGATTAGTTTTCTTTAATTCTTAAGTACTTCCTTCTTACGCACGGTTACCTGGTCTGCAAGCAAGTAAAACCTGGAGACTCGATTAATCTACTCAATTCCTTGTCACCATGCACAAAAGTAACCACAAAACGACGGTCGCTGACCATCGATTAACACATATATGATGTAGCTTTTGCTTCTTCCTCCCTCCGTTCCAAAATATTTGACACCGTTGACTTTTTAAGTACGTGTTTGACCATTCGTCTTATCCAAAAAATTTAAGTAATTATTTATTTTTTCATATCATTTAATTTATTGTTAAATATACTTTCATGTACACGTATAGTTTTACATATTTCATAAATTTTTTTAATAAGACGAATGATCAAACATGTGCTAAAATATCAACGGTGTCAAATATTTTGAAACGGAGGGATTAATTAATTTCCTAGTCTTGCCACAGGCACAAATTACCTGCACGTGCTGATGTCGTTAATTCGTACGTCCATCTATATATCGATCGAGAAGCAAGCATCATCGCCAGCGAGATGATCGAGCTAGCTAGCTCATGGCTGGCCTTGCCCAATGCTCATATTGCTGGAATTAATGCGCCACCATCAGCCGAAATTATGATCCAGATCGATTGATCAATCAACGGACAACTACAAGATAGCTAGCGTGTTACGCTGTTTCGATCTCTTCATGTACTATGTTGTCCATCTGCCTATTTATATACTCTCTCCGTCCCAAAATATTTGACACCGTTGACTTTTTTAAAAATATTTGACCGTTCGTCTTATTCAAAAAATTTAAGTAATTATTTATTCTTTTTTATCATTTGATTTATTGTTAAATATACTTTCATGTATACATATAGTTTTGCACATTTCATAAAAGTTTTTGAATAAGACGAACGTGTCAAACATATTTAAAAAAGTCAACGGTGTCAAACATTTAGAGAAGGAGGGAGTATATCAACCTGATTGACCATCGATCGATCCATATCGAAATTAAGGATGAACAGGTCAGATAGATCTAGATTGTACTATTCATTTCCATAATGTACGATGCTATTGACTTTTTACACAACATTTAATCATTTGTCTTATTTATTTTTTTAGAATTATACAGTACAACGTAGATACTCACAGCACGCGCACTCACCCCTATGAACGCATGCATATAAACAGTATAAGTTAAGTTTATATTTTATAGCATGATAAAACAAATCACAATAAAATTAATGATATTTATATATTTTTAAAATTTATATTTATATATTTTAAAATTGAGGGGGTATATAGCTAGCTAGCGACATAACCCATCGATCCATTCGCTGCCTCTAATTAACTAACGACCGGTGGTCATGCGTTCTGGCGACTTATGTACGCAGTTACGCACGGCCCGGCCGTCGTTCTGGAAGATAGCTATATGATCGTACAACATTATGGAACAGGTCAATTCTTCCATTTTGACAAGGCCTATCCCGGCTCAGTCCACGGTAATACACCCACTTGATTAATCACCCAGTAATTAACTAATCATTAACAAAGCCACAACTACACGAATCAAAGATCAACTTAATTTGACCTAAATTAGAACTAATAATCATTTAGATCGAGGATTAAGACCCTCATATGAACTCTCTTTGCTAATAAGAACCTATACATGTCACAGTGACTTTAAATTAATCACCTAATCTCAATCCTCAGATCGATGGACGAGTTCAGTACTGTGCTGTTGGCCGTTGGTTCCGTTGCGGCGTACGTACGACCGACGGTCAGAGTTCAGTACGGTGTCATGGCCGTTGTTGGTTGGTTTGCAGAAAAAAATCAGAATATATATATATACGTGCAAAATACGGAGTGAGTACGAGCGGCCGTAGATGCAGCCGAGACGTACGCATCTCGGGTCGAATCGAATCAACCCGTCAACCACCCGGACCCCGACCAACCACCTAACCGACCGACCGACTCACTTGGCTTGGCTCTACTACTCTCCATTTCTCTCGCTAGCTTCTCTCGCTGACAGGTGGGCCCCACCGTCTGGCTGTACAGAGAGGCTCTTGCCACCTGTACACATAGCGCCGCGCCTACAGCTCACGGACACCAAATACACCATTAACACCATGGCCACCGGTGCTTCGTTGGATTGGAGGAATGGAATGGATCCGGTGGCCAAAGTGCCAAACTACCAAGTCACCAACTGTGCATAAGCTTGTGTTTTGTGTTCATGCTCTAACCTGGCAAGATCTCATGCCCAAACCATCAAATTTTATCAAAAAAAAAGGGCAAATAATAGTTGTAGTAATAGTGATGGTAATAGTACTGACCTGACGGCGACGACTTGAGCAGAATCAGCCTGAGGAGATACACCGTATAAGTGGCCGTATCACCAAGATCACACGCGGGAGAGGGAGAGGTTTTAATCATGCCGTGCATGCGCCATGTGATTCGCGCGCCAAAAAATACACACGCAATAATGACGTGAGAAACAAATCAAATTATATTTACTCCATTTCTTTAAACGCGGGGACGAAAAAGAAAAGAAAGAAAGAAAAACAGAAAAAAAAAACGTGCATGTGCGATTGGTTCCCGCCGCGTTTGGGTTTGGTGATGTGGCGCGTGGCCACCGTCGGTGACTTGCCACTGGGCCCCACCCGCGCGGGCGCCCACCGTGTGGGTCACTGACGAGTGGGCCCCACCCCCCGCGGTATATTCGGGATCCCGTGTGGCCGAGCTATATTAGAGGCGCGCGCGTCCGCAAGGAGAGGCGGAGGCCGCGGCGAAGCCAGCCCGAGTCGTCGTCGTCGTCGTTCGTCCACGCGACACCGCGTCGTCGGCGGCGGCGAGAGGAGAAAGCTCAACGAAGGTGATCGATCGATCGATTGTTTGCGAGGTGGAGGAGGGAGTGGGGATGGTGGAGAGGAGGGCGTCGCCGGCTGCGGCGGCGGCGGGGGGGAGGCGGAGGTGCGGGGTGAGGGTGGGGCCGACGAGGCTGGAGGGCATGCCGGCGGCGTGGCCGGCCGTCGCGGCGGTCAAGGCCAAGTGGCCCGTCTCCGGCGGTGCGCTCTCGCAGATGATCCTCGGGAGGTGCTGGGGCCGCGGGGTCACCGCCGTCGAGCCCGTCGGCGGCGACGGCGTCGTCCGCTGGGACGGCGCCGGCGACGCCAACCGCTTCCGCTTCGACCTCGACCAGCCTTCCGCCGCCGCCGCGCGCGCCGCCCGCCCGGAGCGCGGCGTGTCCTTCTCCATCCTCTATGTGAGCACTCCTTCTTCTTCCTCCCTTCTCTAATCATCTTGATCAATCAAAGATTCAATCAAACCTTCCAATTTCTCATACCAAGGTTGTTTTTTCCCCTTCCCAATCGCCACTGAATTCACAGCATCAAATTCATTAACTATAGCAGTTAATCTCAAGCTCAAACTATAATTAATTTAAGCCTGTAGTGGTTAACCTTAAGCATAAGCATGATTACTGCTGATGTTAGCCTGATTTATTACTGTTGTTTTTTTTTTAAAAAAAAATGATCCTATGATATTTTTCAATCAAATTATTGTCGGTGTTTTGGGGCCAGTGCTCTGAGCTAAGGTGTGGACACCATTTCTTACAAAATGGAGGTTTGTGACCGTAATTGCGATGTATAGAACGCTTCAGGTCAATGCATAGCTTTTTTGCAAGTAGCAGTCAGCAATTTGGAGTGGACAAGTCAATAGTTAGGTTAAGCATGCTATCATAATTCTTATATCTTTAGTGCGGAGTTGAAGAAAAAGAAAAGGTAAATCTGCTCAAAGTCCGGCGCATTTTGTCTAAAGGAGTAATGCGAGGTTTGAAATTGAGGAGAGGTTGATGTGGCCACGTGGCACGCTCCGATTGGCCCAGGAGGTTTTGACTTCAGTTATTCTTGTTAATTAGTTTTAGGTGGCAAGATCTATGTCATGATATTAAGTTTTGAGGGTTAAGTTTGAACAGTACCCTTCGCTTTCATGTACGTTAAAGTTGCATTCCATTAGTGCTTCTCTCTGAATCTTTTGTTTTCATATCAGTGTTGATATGTGGAGCATGATTAGTGTGTTTTTTTGTGTGTGTGGTTATGGTTCTTCGCCTATTCATCAACCAACAAAATCATTAGTAAATAGTTCTTTTAGATGTAAATAGTAAATCTTCGGTAACTGTTTTACTATAACCTCCCATGGAAGAGAACCAAAGTAGGAATAAGAGCATATTTTAGGTTCCTTGTAAAGCAGCAGCCTTGAGGAGTACTACAAGCTAGTACTTACTACATGACAGGGAATTGTTGTTCCTTGGTGATCAACCATTGCCGATTTCAGGAAAAATCTTGAAAGTTACAGAGGAATCAGTGTAGCAATCAAGCATCTTTTCTTAGGCTTTTTCGCCAAGTGAGGCTGGCAATAAGAATTGCTTTGTGATGCAGGGATTCCAAGAACAAGGAAGAGGCAAGGACGTGGTGAAGCTTGAGGAGATTGGGACAGCCATGATAAGCCTGGAGGAATGCTGCTGGGAGATGCAACTGCAGCAGCAGCAGAAAAGGGGGGCAACTCAGCAGCAGCTGGTGGTTGTCCCCATCAGGGTGAGGAAAGATGGATGGGCAAGTGATGCCATGCTTTATGTAAGCAAATATCTTCTCCATTTTATTTGCCTCCCAATTACTATATTTCTAGTGAAAATGTTTGGTGTGCATTTTTTTAATGAGTTGTATGGGTGATGATTGATTTCAGGTGAATGTGGAGCTTGTGGACGCGAACACGCCTTCTGAGAACATCGGAAGGACTGTTTCATTCAGGGAGAGCAGGGCGAGGACGACGACTCCGGCACCGACAATGCGGGACAATAGGAAGAGCTTGGAGGCAGGGACGTACCATGAGGTCCTTGACCTGAAGCAGCTGCTTGATCTGGCTGACAGGGAGCACAAGGTGGCTGTGTACAGCAGGAGCAAGAGGAATTCGGACAGCAGCAGCGTCAGCAGCATGAGCAGTGTCAGCAGCAGCAGCACCATCAGCATCAGCAGCGCCAGCTCGAGCGGCGGCGCCAGCCCGGAGCCCGGCCTGTCGTCGAAACGCCGGCTTCTACCGTGGAGGAGGAAGAGCCGGGACTTCGACAAGAGGAGCAGCGAGTCGCTCTCCCAAGAATTGCCCATGAAATACATGGTGAGAATTGGATTAGCATTTTTTTTCTGATCATGGAATCATGTTTGCATTGGCAATGGTGAATTGGTGATTGATCGAGATGGTGATCTGTGTCTTACAGGATGATGATCTGGCGGGAAGCTGGGAGACTCGGGAGTTCACGAGCAGGGACTCGGAGACGAAGCTGAGGACGCCGGTGTTCTTCGCGTCCATCGACCAGCGCGACGACAGCGCCGGCGGGGAGAGCGCGTGCACGGCGCTGGTGGCCGTGCTGGCGGCGGCGCTGCACGCCAACCACCCGACGATGCCGACGCGGCCGGAGCTGGACGCGCTCATCAGGGACGGCTCGTCGGAGTGGAGGCGGCTCTGCGACGACGAGGCGCACATGGCGGCGTTCCCGAACAGGCACTTCGACCTGGAGACGGTGCTCGCGGCGAGGGCGAGGCCCATCGCCGTGCAGCACGACAGGGCCTTCGTCGGCTTCTTCCAGCCCGAGAGCTTCGCCTCCCTCTCCGGCGCCATGTCGTTCGACGACATCTGGCGAGAGATCGCCGCCGCCGCCGGCGGCGAGCCGGGGCGCGCCGACGTGTACATCGTGAGCTGGAACGACCACTTCTTCGTGCTCAAGGTGGAAGGCGACTGCTACCACGTCGTGGACACGCTCGGCGAGAGGCTCTTCGAGGGCTGCGACAAGGCGTACATGCTCCGGTTCGACGCCACGTCGGAGATGCGCTCGGTGTCGCCGCCGCCGTCGTCGCCGTCGCCGGAGGAGGAGGTGATCGTCACCGGGAAGGAGTGCTGCAGGGAGTTCATCAAGAGGTTCTTGGCGGCCATCCCGCTGAGGGAGGAGCTGGAGATGGAGAGGAAGGGCTGCGCCGACGCGCCGCACCGCCGGCTGCAGATCGAGTTCCACTTCACCGTCCTGAAAGAAGAAGAACAAGACCAAGCAAGAAGATGATGATGATCAGTGGTTGTAGCTCTGCAAGCTGACTCAAAGCTGTAGTCTGTACTAACAAACATTCATGTACATTTCTATACATATACAGTACAAGAGGAACAGGAAATCACAGCATTGATACATACGGATACTACAGGGATTTTTGGATAGTAAATATTATTGTAGGCAGACACAGGAAATTTTTACAGAAAAAAAAAACAGAGTTCATGGTTTGTCTTACCTTTTTTTGTTTGGAGGCAGGAATAGGGTCCATTTCATCTCACCTGTCAAAGCCATTTTGTAAGCATGCCCAGGACTCACTGCACATTATTTACATATAGTAAAATCTAGGGGCTTATTTGACCCCGTTTATCAAGATGGTGTTCTTCTCTGTGACACATGGTTTCCTTCTGTGACACATGGTTTTTTCATTTAAGTAAAATCTATTAACTATCAAGATGGTGTTCTCTGTGAATCAACTGGACAATGTATTCATGACTGTAGGAATCGTTATTATTAACTACAACTGGAATGTCGATTCCTCCATTCCTAAAACCATATTGAGAAATCTATGAAACTAAAAACTGTAAGAGCTTATTCCTCTAAAGAGTTTATACACAGTTTAGAAGAGAGCTGGACAGTCAACGATGACCCGCCGTCTTCTGATGCTGTAGATCCAAGCTCATACATTTTCAAACCTCCCCCAGACGCTATGGATTCATCAATTCTTCTCGACATCAAGCAACCAGGCACCGCCTCTTCGTCTGCTGGAAGCCTGGAAGTATTTACATGTACATGGGTAGCCTGGCATTGCTTGATGCCGATGGCACAAGAGCTAGTATCTGGTTCTTTATGACAGCGATAAAATTCTCTATTTCGTTATAGATGGGCAGGTTCTCTGCACAGCTTGGTCGCAGCATTAAGCAAGCACGCTCCAGGACGCCTGCTATGTTAGGAGGTGGATGTCGGCCCTCGCTAAAATGCTGCATAATTGAAAAGGAAGATGTACTGAATTGGAATAATTCTAGTAACCATGGAGGATTAGTGCTAGTGAAGCAGGTGAATGTTTTACCTTGATTGCAAGAAGCGTGGCAATGCAGTTGAATATCAGGTTGCGCGGAAGTTCAGAATTAGCAGCAGATTCCGGTTCTGGGCCTGTACAATCCGTCGCTTCATTTGATATGCCTGTTTCTTCTAGAGAACTTTTACCATTCTCAGAGATTTCCTGGCAAAACATCAAATAACATATTGAGTGAGAAATGCAAAATTAGATACCTTGAGGGAATTGATCAGCTAAACTTTAACCTACCTTCATGGCTTCGTCAACCATCTGCTTGGCTTGTGCCAATGACATTTGGACAAAGGAAGTAATATAAGAATCTAGCTCATCATTGTGACCATTCCTGTGCTCTGACAAACCTCTACTCCGTACATTGTCATCAACAGACTGGAGCGGCTGTAATGGTCCACAATTACCAGATGTACTCTTGTTGGATAGTCTTTCAATATCCACAGCAATTTCAACCTGTGATAGTAAATATATTAATCAGCATTAGAACATTTCACAAACGTGAGCAGTTGGCCGGTTGCATTTCATGGAGCAGTCAAGGAACAGGCAGCATTTGCTGCATGGCCATAACTCGTAACCTGCCCATGGATAGATAGACTATGATCGTAATGCTTCTTAAAAATAGATTTGGACAGCAAAACCTCAACCTGTTCATCTGAAGTTATGTGCATGGTTTTGGATGGCTCGGCCTCTCCGCTGATATGATCCCAGTTCTCTTTTGAAGTAAACTTTGGAATTTGCTCAACCTCTACTCTGTTGTGTGAATTATTTGAAAGGAAGCTCCTCTTTTTGAGGTCATCAGGCAGATTATCCAACCAGTTTACAGGCATACAATCAGTGTCCTGAAAAAGAAACAATTACATGTCTTGACATAATCATATAACTACCATAACAGTATATCTTTATGCTAAAATATCATCTCAAGATTCTTGAATATAAATTATATGAATATGAAATGAATAAGTTGTGAATTGTTGTTAAACAAATGGTTACCAAGTGAAAAATAAAAACGTGAGGAGTCTCATAAATTTATTTCCATGATATAAATAACTGAAGTACCTGACAGCTTTGTGTTGGGCCATATTTTTTTTGTTTGTTTAAAAAAGATGGATAACTCAAATTCGAAGCATGACTGATGGTGATGAACTCCTGGCAACTATGCATGGATGATTCAGCATACTGTGTGGGATGTGATTAGTTATCCTTAGGAAGACTACAATTTTATGAACACTACTGGAACTAAAAGGGCAGATCCTCTACTCAAGTGTGGTGGTTGTGGTACTGGGATGTAAAATTTACTCGTAGTTCAAAAGCTTGATAACATATTTTGATATGAATTACTAACTAAAAAATCACAGAATTCAATTGCAAGGTCAGTGTTTAGTATACTAGAAAGTTTTTTCCCTGCCTATAGTTAAAAATAATGGTTGAAATCTTTTGCAGTGGCTGAATTCATTGATTATCCTAGATGTTGGGAAATTTGGAAACACCGAAATGACTGCATATTCAACTGAGTGAATCCAAACGTAATGGAGATGTTGCAGGCAGAGTCAACAGAAGTTAGTCTTTAGTGCCTAGCTGGAGCTCTTGCGCTCCAAGTTTTCCTTTGTACTAGGCTGTCGTAGGGTGGTTTTGGTCATGTGTCGCCTTGTGGGTGTGTTTTGGGTGTAGGGCTTGTGAGCCCTTGTTTGTATGGGTAGTAGTTTCCTTCTTAATGAAATGAACAAAAAAAATCTGTTCCAACAGATATATGAAGAAACAATTATGAGAAAGGACCTAATATCCTACATAGTATAACAATTGGCAATCATGAAATGCAACTGATATTGAAAAGGTGTACCTTTACTTCATCAACACCAAGGTCAGGCCTATCAAACTGGACATTATAACGATCCTGTTCCATCATCACCACTTTACCATCACAAAGTTCCCGCGTACTTGGGTGACGAACGATTACCTGCTGACCAATTGAAAATGGTCGAGCTAGGTCTGGTGGTAGAGAATCCCACGAATCTTCACTTAGTAGAGCATAGTATTGCCTAACTTTTTTGCGATAATTTTCAAGTTTATCTTTTTCTGCTGCCAGAAAATGATCAGAAAAACGTCGGGGTTTGCCAAGTGAGCTGCAGATAAAAATACTTAGTATAGCGAAAACAAAAAGAAGTGAGGACAAAGAAAAACAATGATATAGCTTCCAGAGTTTGCTAGTCAATACCTCCTTATTGTGCTCCACTCGGACCGAGTGAGCCTTGACAGATGGCTCAAATTCGCAAAATTCAAGTAGTTCACAAACTCATTATCCATAAACCATGGATAATCAACTGCGCTGTAAAACCACTCATATGTACACCATCTACGAAGTGACTCAGATGACAAGCAATGCTGCAATCTCCTAGCCTGAAAGTAAGCCAGAATTAAGACTACAGTTGAACTCAATCTGTGGCATACTAGCATTGATGAATGGTGGGTGTACCTGTAAATTATCTGCTCCATTGCAAACGACATACTTAGAACCACAAGGACTTTTGGATTTTCTTTTGCTCCTTCTCGACATATTTATCTCAGGTTTTAATTGTGATGGCAAATCAGGGATTTTGGTAGAAATATTTGCAGTTGATTCAGGTAAATCAACTGTTCCCCTTTCCAGATCAGAATTCAAGGCGCACTCAGTGGCATCAACTTGACGCTCTTCTGGCAAATCTAAATGATTAGAAGTGACTCCTTCAGTAGGCACCTGCAAAAAGAAGTGTGAAAATAGAAGTGCCATCAGACTAATTGAAGAGAGCAATACGGGAAAGAACACAAATGCTGTCTGATTTAAGGTGCACTTCGATCTCAGAAGGGATAAATTATAATCACACTGACAAAATGCACCCTATTAAAATAAAGTGAAGGATGGCTTTCCATTGACACCAAACCCAGAATTTTATGATTTTAAGGGATGCGACGGCAATACTAATTTTAAATGCAAGAATGAAAGCATCTAATTAAAGGATAAAATGTACCCTATAAAAATGAAACGGGATTGACTTTCCATCGACACCAAGCCGAGAACTTTATGAGTTTATGGGGATGCAATGATATACTAAATGTTAGATGCAATGGAAGCATCTAATTGACAGTACAGTAGACTCAGATATAGGCGTCAATTCATCAAATTTGGTTTGTTCCCCATGAGCAAGAAAGGGTTCCTTTAAAAAATATATATATTCATGCTGTACATACAACATAAGCTCACTATTTACGATATCTTACCTCTTCAGCTATTAACTTCTTTCTCCTTTTATTCCTTGTCTTGGAGGCACTGCATTCACCAACTTGCTTCCCTTGTTTGGATCTCTTAACTGAAGGACCTTCCTCCCTTCTGTGAGACAATGCAGAATCATCCCTTCCAAGTGTACCTGATCAATATACATCAGAAAAGACACATGCGCAACATGCATGAGATAACGTATGTTATGAAAAAAAGATATACCAGGAGTCTGAAATAATATTACCAACCTGAAGGAATATTAATCTTAGGCTCTGATATTTTACTGGGTACAGTCACTAAACTCTCCAAGACATCTAAGACCAACATCTCATCTGCAAAACAGTGGTTGTCAGTATTTAACATTACGATTAAGCTTAGCAGCTCCAAGAATGACTACTGAAAACTATTATAAGATAAAAAGTAGTTGCTCTAGCACCAATCAAAACTGACAAGGAAAATGTTCTGACTTCTGAACAATAATAAGATAGCAGAGGAAATGGACTCAATGAGTAATCAAACACTATGAACATGTTCTCATTAGTTTCATACAGGCTACATTGTTGGCCACCTAATGCGTTAACTAGGCTTGGTGTAATATTTTCTCCTTTCTCACTGGTAGAGGGCAGGAGCAGATATTGTTTGCTGTCAAGGTGTCAATACATGTGAACCAGGGGCTTTGGGTCTCCTTTGTCTTAAAAATGGAAAGATGTGACATAAAGATTGTTTCATTTTGTAGGTCATCTTAGATCATAATCGCACAAAACCATTCAAGATTTTAGATTCCTGAAAGTGTGTTCCAATAACTGAAAGAAATCGAAGATACAAATTAAGGGCATCCCAGTGACATCTTACTTTTGAGCAAATGGCTGATATAAGCTTAGGATAATCTTAGGCACTATTTGCAGTAGCTATCAAGATGTTAAACTATCCACAATGTAAAATGCTGAACAGATTGTATATAACAATGGCAGAGTAAATAATGTGTAGTTCATATAAAATATATTGTTTAGTTTTGTGAACAGAAAATGGAACCAAAAACTCGTATATTTACATGAACTCAACGAAACAATGAGTTTGACATCAATGATGGGGAGAAATGTCTCAAAGTACCTGGGGAAAATAGATTGGTAAGTCTCTGATATTCAGTAAGGTCATTCCCTTCTTTAGCCACCATTGCGGTTTTATGCTCATCTTTAATTGTCTGACCTTGTTCCATACTCTGCTCAATTCTTCTCTTTTTCAAGCTTCCAGTTCCTTTAGCTTCCAGGAAAGTCTGGCCTTGAACAAACTTGGCTGATTCTGAGATTCCAGGACTTCCATGAGATGAGCATTCAAGCTCATTATTGGTAGCTCCACTAGCCTTTTTGGTACAGTTGATGGCATTTTCTGTTTCTGGTATGCCAGCATGAGCAACATTCATGTCTGCAGGAAAAATAACTGGTACACGAGGAGTACGTTTCCCTGAAGGATGTCTTGGAATGTTCTTGACAAGTTCTGGAAAAGCATACAAATTAGTAAAACAATGCAGGCCAGTAGAGTAAGTTATTATCCAATAGAAATGTTCTCTTGCATTCAACTAGCTCTTGCTTCTTTCTTTGGTAATTTCATTTTGAGGAGGCCAAGAGAAGATTAAGGGATAAATAAATATATATATATATTTGCTTTACAATACTTACCTCCATAGTATCTTTTCTTGAAAGAAGATAATCCAGAAGTTCTTCTTTCATGATAGGAGCGGTGAGCATGAGGTGCTTCCTTCTCTTTCTGCCCTGTAGCTTCACGTTTCCGTACCTTCCCAGATGCTCTAACTGTTTGATCACTTCCTTTATGACTCTTGGATTCATCCTGCTATTTTAAGAATTTCAAGTGATTTAAGGAAAAAGTAGGGCAATTTGTATGTCGATTCAGATAATTCAGACCTTGCAGTAAATAGGTTAATTCAGAATCGAACATAAGAAGAACAAAGCATTGGTACTCATCATTCTTCAGAGACTGTGATGTAGGAAATGCAAAACAATCACCACTATCAATAGTCAACGCACTCTAGATTGGCTGTTAGCTTGTTCTTTCAATGTTAGTAACGTCCATCATCATGATATAGTTATTCTTATGTCACAATATACTAATTGCATCATCATATGGCAAAAACTGTTATAATAAAAATTATAACTAAATCCAAAAGAACCACAATGATCAGGAGTGCTCACACTTGGCCTTTTGCTATAACGAAACTGACCTATGCATGGTAGCTTCAAATAGTACAAATATTCGCACATGATTGAAAACTCTCAAAAAGAAACAACTGAAATTTGGCATATCCAGAAACCAGAAGCATACTCAATAAAACATTCAACAAGTAAACCCATCATAAGCTTACCGAAACATTGTGATGACCAGTTACCAATGCAACAAATCCCATGGCAGTACCTTCACGTTCTGGAAGAGATAAGAAAGTCTACAGCAAGAAATGGCAATGTGTAAATACTTTAGGTTCTATTATCAAATTTAACCTATTACATTTATCTAGGCATGGCTGCAAGGTGAATTATATATTATAACTAAATATTCTTGAACTTCTGCATAAATAATATATCATCAATATACTGTCCTGTTCTAGTCTTCTAGATGAGCAAATTATCAACTTTAGTTCACAAAACCAAGTAAACTGTAGAGGATGCAAGGTGGTAAAGTTCGCAAATAGCTAGGGCATATTAATTATAGAACACAAACTCACCCGGTGCACACTGTAAAGGGCTTCTACTGTATCTGCTGATTTTCCACCCACAGATGCACTGACCTGCAGAGTCAACAAACAACTTTCTTACTTTGGCACCAAAGACACCAATGAAACATGAACACAAAAAATGGTGGTCGGAAAATTGAATAGCAAACCTTTTTCCAGTTTTTTCCATGTCGACGGTAGGCTTCATAAAAGCGCATAAGCTCATCCTTGCTCCATTGAGGACCTAAATCTGACATTTTTCTCTTCTGCAAAATCAAAACATTTTAGTGAAACGGAAAAAGATCATGTCTACACATTGTTGCTGAGTTGGATGATATTTTAAGAGACTACAATTACTGGGTGTCATCTAAAAAGTATCAATTCATCTTACTTTTAGTTTAACCTTGCTTGAACTATTTGGATCCTCGTCATGCTGTCGATCGTCATACCCCTTTATTGTGATCTTGGTAATTGTGCGAGAACCTTTTGCTGGACCCATGGAAATTTTCCTTGGCTTGTTTTAGAGAGAAAAAGACTTCCTTGACTTGAGGCCCAACAAATATTGCTGCAAGTGAGAGAGAAAGCTCACTAACACTATGTTTCCCAAAAAAAACAAAAAAACAAAGAAAGCTCACTAACACAATAATTAGTGTAGCATATATACATTGGACTATAGACTACAACGAAAACTAAAACATGAACTATATTACTCCTAGTAAGTTATATTAATCTAGCTTCTAAGTTTCACATCCTAACTCTAATAATGCAAAATAAGACTTTGCAAACTAAACTAATGCCAGGCTGCAAAGAGAATGTCAATTGTCCAAGTACGAAATTTAAACAAGGGTCAGATTAAAACAAAACTCATGATGCGGCCCATTTAGTAATCAGATTAAGCAAGTCATCAACTGTGACAAGGACTTCATAAAGAAAAAGATTCCGGGCAGCCAGTAGAAAAGCAAGAAACTTTGGTAAAATCTTCACATAAACTCTGAGTAGAACATTATAAATATAGCCAAAAATCATCGAAATTTACACATAAGCTATATTTGACATGCCAACAAATCCAAACATCAAGAAATATAAAATTGCCGCTCAGTCCACATCCAAGTAAATAGACCTTTCCAGGGGACAAGTCATAGCGAAAGCCTGGACTTTGCAGAACCAACAATAACCAAACAAACACTCGTGTTGGTTCAAAGCATTGCATGGAACAAGTTAGACAAGCCAGTGAGTAGATAACGGAATTACGGATCCCCAACCACGAGATGAGAAATATGGTGGGAAATGAAAATTCTCTGCAGCAGATACCTAATTAGAGACCCGATTAGCGAGGTAAAGGTGGTGTATGACGCCAACCGGAGAAGCTACAGTGAAGAACCCCCAAAAGTCCCACGCCGCCGCAGCACAAGTCAAGGAGGAGGAGGGGAAGGCCAAGCAAAATCGAAGCCACGATCTTAAGGGATACTACCAGAGATGAAATCCGGTAAGCGTCGCATCGGGGATCACGGCGCACCAAAAAAAAAACAGACAGATTCGCAGCAGAAGAACGCCTTGCGCGATGAACTTGGGGAGGGAAACCAAATCGTCTTCCAGAAATCCTGAAATCCAAGCAGACGAAGCAAGCATCTGCTCGGGGGGAGAAGGAGAAAACAAACCACCCACCCAAAGCCGCACCTCGCAGTTCTCAATTCCCCCCATCCACATCCACTACTCTTCTCTCGAGGACTAACACTAGAGGAAAAATTTTCGAAACCCCCCAACGCGAGCAAACCATGGAGAGAGAGAGAGAGAGGGGAAAGCCGCACGAGATCAAGCATACATCTGCTCGTAAAAACCACGGGAACACCACGAGCAGCCGCGAAATCCGCGAATTCCCAGCCGAAAAACCACCCACCGCCCCCAAATCCCCGCGACATCCCAAACCCCGAAAAGCCTTCTTCATCCCCCCGCACCGCATCTCACCCCCACAGATTGCACCAAACCCCCACCCCGACGAAGAATTCCCCTCACCTTCCTCGGATCAGGGCTGAATCTCGCCGCCCGCGGAAGAGCACCACCGCGACGCAGCTCGGCCCGGCTCGGCCACCGGTGCGACGCGCGCGCTCCCGCTCCCGCTCTCCCTCTACCGCGCGGTGCCGTCCGTCCCTCCGCCCCCCGCCGCCACCCCGCGCGCGTGCACCAGGTGGAGGGCGTCGTCGACGGGGCGCTAGGGTTTCCCGCGGCGTGGGTGGATCGGAGGTGGAGGTGGTGGTGGTCGGTTGCGTTTGCCTTTGTGGTGGCTTGGCGTTGGCGGGCGCTGGATACAAGTAGAGGGAGGAGGACGACGAGGGGGATGGGGGACGGATTTGCGAGGTGGGTGGTGTTCTAGGGGTCTACGTGTAAATGTGCTTTTTGAAAATTAGGTTGAGCAAAGGAAGGAGTAGGATGGTAATCCCGGACGCGGCGTGGCGTGGGCCTTGCTGGGCTGATGTGCGGGCCGTGGGTCTTCGGAGGTTTCAGTGCGCAGGTAATAGGCAGGTTTCTTTTTTACGAAAACCGAATTTCGAATTTCGTCGTTCAATCGGAAAAACGGATACAGCGGGTTTCTCAACTGTTAAAATATAAAATAGGTGCAAAATAAGAGCAAGGTCAATAATATAGCTAGCTATTGGCTCCAAAAAATCCCATGTCATCTACAGCCATAATTAGAGACGTATTATACAAAAGTAAGCTGCAGTAAACACATTTCTGAATATTACTTTTCATTTTATTTATTGCATTGCACGTTCTTCATTTGCATATAGCAAGGCCAACTGCTGCTCACCTATTTGCTAGCCAATCACTGAAGCTTTGCACTGTCTTGGAGCTCGTGAGGAGTTGACGATAATTTAGTCGTCGGCTGAATCTCTCTCTCTCTTCATCTTTTGCTTTTAACTCAGTTTTTTAAGCCACGGTGGACAGCTATCACCGGCTTGAAGCATCTATTGTACCTGCTCTAACAAGTCTTAAGACGGCTTGAAGGGCGGTTTCAGCTGACGTGGTATCTACATGGCTAATTTGACTCGGTCTTCATCTGACATTGCATTTACGTGGCACATGAAGTAAAATTTAACAATTTAAAAAATAAAACAAAATATCTGGACCCACATGTCAGGCAAATACTAATAAGGTTAAAAAATAGTTAGTGAGTCCCACTTCCTCCACATCTCCCCTCTCTACCTCCATTTCCTCCGGCTCTTCATCGGCGAGGGGACAGGGCGCGTCACGCAGGCGGCCGACGGGAGAAGAGGTAGCGGCGCACGGTGACCTGTGGAAGAGGAGCGACGTGCGGTGGCCCACGGGAAAGGAGCAGCGGCCAATCTCCCGGTCTCTTCCTTCTCCGCCGCAGCATGGATCCTTCGCTGAGCTGCCGGATTTGCACAGCCGCGAGGACGGTCCGCTCCAGCCCACACCTTGACACATAAGCAGCACATGGTGAGCAGGTAGAGCGGCCACTGCCGTCGTCCTCCCCTTTCTCCACGATGTCAAATCCGAGCAGCGACATCGCCTCAGGATACGAGCCAACGTGTCGGCGATGGTGAGCTACTGCAAGTAGGACGTGGCTATTGTGGCCGTCCAAGAATCGCTACGACAACGCCATTGCAGACCAACCAACCGTCACGGGGAAGAAGCAAAGGGAAAGGTCGGCGCCGAAGGTGTGCACAAACAATAGCTCCGGAGCAGCACACGAAGGTGCAGGAGGGAGTGTAGACCGTCTCCATGGCGGCATCAGTGAGGTGGTCATCGAGGGAAACCGCTAGCAGCATGGCGGTGGCGACGCAGGATGAGACAACGAGGACACCGCAGCAGAGTGTGCGACATGGGCGTTTGATGTCGACGAAGGTGACGAGCGTGGCTGCGACGCCATGGTGGTTGACAAGCCGCCACCACACCCTCCCGCTCCACCCTCTCCGCCTCTGCCACCACCTCTCCCGTTCGGTTGTCGTCGCTGGCGTGCATGCGTATGGGAAGGGAGGGAGAGAATTATTTTTAATAAACGGTGTAGCATATTACAATAGTTTATTTAGTGATAAATCTAGTAACATCATTCTCACATGATCGATAGTGAGAAATCTAAGAAGTTTTACGATAGTTTATTTAGTGATAAATCTACTGCGTTCGGCCCAAGGAGATTGTGAGAAAGTTTGTTTGTTTTTCTGCGCGCACGCTTCCCGAACTACTAAACGGTGTATTTTTTGCAAAAAAAAATCTATACGAAAGTTACTTAAAAAAACATATTAATCTAATTTTGAAGTTTAATTAATCATACGCTAATAGCTCATCTCGTTTTGCGTATCTTCTCAATCTTCTCTTTTCCTCTCCTCTCAAACTCACTTACTCCATCCGTCCCAAAATATAAGAAGTTTTAGAATTGGATACCGTTATTAAGAAAGTAGATAGAAGTGAATGGTGTAGGGTTGTGATTAAATGAGTAGTGGAGGTAGGTGGGAACTGGGAAAAATGAATGGTGGAGGGTTGCGATTGGTTGGGAAGATAATGTTGGTGGATAAATTGTTATATTTTTGGGATAAATTCTAGAGTTAAAAATTATTATATTTTGAGATGGAGGGAGCAGAGGTTTCTAGAAAGCGTGACCAAAACTTGAGCAAGTAACTTCATGGAATCTTCACGTTAAACAATCCAAATTGGAGTATTTGAAAAGATTCCCCATTTCAAAAGGTAGTACTCCGAGTAGTAATGATTTTGCTAAACAGCAGGGTTCATGGCCATAATGTGACTTCTGTGATTCTGTCAAGTGGGCCCTCTTGGACAGAGCACCTTACCACCGGTGACACCAGCATCATCGTCGGTTTTCTCTCCCTCCGCGCCATCTCCACCGTCCATTCTCCATCCGAACCGCGCCACCACCCGCCGCCCTCATGGCCACGGCCGCCGCCGCCGCCGCCGCCGCCTTCTCCCCGCTCCGCCGCCGCCTCCCGCTTCACCACCGCGGCCGCCGCCTTCTCGCCGTCGCGGCCGCCCTCTCCCCGGAACCCCCCGCGCCTACCCCCACCACCTCGCCGCCTCCCCCGCCCCGCAAGGGCTACTTCCCGAAGCGCAACGAGGTGCTCGAGCTGACATGCGAGGGGCTCGCGTTCAAGGGGAAGGGCGTCTGCAGGGTGGACGGCTCCACCTTCGTCCTGCTCTGCGACGGCGCGCTCCCCGGGGAGCGCCTCCTCGCCCGCGTCCGCCGCATCCGCCGGGGCGCCTTCGCCGAGGCCGCCAAGCTCCGGACGCTCGAGCCCCACCGCGACGCCGTCGACGCGCCATGCCCGCTCGCCGCCGACTGCGGCGGCTGCAAGGCCCAGTCCCTCGCGTACGCCGCGCAGATCCGCCACAAGCACCTCCAGGTCCGCGAGCTGCTCGTGAACTTTGGCAAGTTCGATCCCCGGAAGATGGAGAGCTCGGAGCCCGATGCTATCTTGAAACCCATCGTGCCGTGCGACGAGATATTTCGGTACAGGAACAAGGTGAATTTCTGGTGTGGGGGTTTAGGAGGGTTTAGGAGGGGGTTTTTGGCGCAAAAGATGAGTTGTTTTTTCTCTTGTTTCCAGATGGAGTTCTCTTTTGGAACAAAGAGATGGATGCAAAGAGAGTGGAAGGAGGAGAAGGATGATGAGGTGGTGAAGGAGGAAAAAGTTGAAGGTGATGGCTATTCGCTTGGATTGCACGCGCCAGGGTTCTTCGACAAGGTGCTGCATGTCGAGAAATGCTTGCTGCAGAGCGAGCCGGCAGATAAGGTAAAAAAGAAAAGGTCAATAATGATGTATTGGATTATGTCCATTTTGTTGTAGATTTAAAATTTAGATTTTGTTGAATTGTGTTACTTGGTGGTTGCAGCATCACCACTATTTAACATTTATAGTTAGATTTGGTTGGCTAGCTTGAAGTTGCATTGGCAACACATCCTTTGTATAACTTCCCAACAAGAGCAGCTTAGGCAGCATGCTGTTGACACCAATTAACGAGATTGTGCATTGGAATAACATACTTTGGACAAACAAACACTATTCACTTGTGTTGCTAGGATGGTATTGTTTATGATTGTCACAAAATGATATAAGTAGAACTGTGTAACATGATAATTATTTAAAAGCTAAATTGCTTGTGTCATGCCGCATAAAGCTACACATATTGAGAGTCAGTTTAAGTACGTACACAGATACATTGCCTGGACCATCGTGCTAATTATTTGGAGTTGGAAGCAATTGTCAAACTAGTGAGCAGAGTGGTTCTGAGGACTTTCCTTTTGATGTTTAATTTATTATCTGCTAATTTTTACAGGTTCTTGCCATTGTTCAAGAAACATGGTTGGATCCAGCTCTTGGTCTCACACCTTATGATGTGCACAAGCATGTTGGATTTCTCAAACATCTTATGATAAGAACTGGAAGGTATGGTGTCCTATCTGATTGTGAGTTCCACCTATGAATGTATGATGCCCTCCTGCATTTTTACCATGTAGCAGTATATCTATAAAGACTATAGTGCATGCAGATGTTATTCGGTTTACAGTCATGGGCACTATATTTCTAGCACTAGGATATTGATGAACTTCTTTTACAACAGAGCAAATCTTTCGATCATTGGTACAGCATCATTTTGGTATTTAAACATGTTACTGAAGTTAGTGCATTTGGCTTCATTAGCTGCTGCCAAATATCTCGGTCTACAAACACATTCTCTATAATTGTTCAGTTAAAAGTAAATTTATTTGATAGGACAGGGATGACCAAACAAGTCATGTTGTTTCCCTCCCCAAACAAATAAATTTTTAACCTTTTGTTACCAATTGAACATTTCTTTTCTTACCTTTTTTTTTTGCATGATGAACACTTTTGAACATTGGTTTTTTGTTAATTTTCCAGAAATATCACCACTGGAGCTCCAGAAGTCATGGTTAATTTTGTCACATCATGTTATAAGCCAGAGCTATTGGAGCCTCTTGTTAACAATATCACAAAAATACCAGAAGTGGTATGTAATTGGTGCCTTCTCATTTTAAGTGTACTATGTCGAACAGTGTAATGTTTAAAATACTTTTCATGTACTGACTATTATGTCACTCAGAGTTCTACTGTACAGAAATCCCGTTGGGTTTTAAGCCAAATAAATAATTAATTACTTCTTCCTACAATATTGATATGCCTGTAGTGTTGATGTAGGTCAGTATCATGAATAATGTGAATACGTCTGTTGGCAATACATCTGTGGGGGAAGAAGAATATACCTTGTATGGGAAACCAACCATTACAGAGATGTTGAGAGGACTTACATTCCAGATATCTGCCAACTCCTTTTTCCAGACTAATACAAAACAGGTTTGTTAATGCTCTGTTAGGTTCGAAGTATTGACATATCTATGTCATGTGACTTACATTCCAGTTCATGTATCAGTTATTTCCACGTTATGCTAAAATTTTGGTGTCTAGTGCTTGAGCATTTCCAACAGTTTTTCCTGCATGGTTGCATGTACTGCAGGCTGATGTTCTGTACAAGCTTATTGGGGAATCTGCTGGGCTTAAGGGAGATGGCTCTGAGATTATCCTTGACTTGTTCTGTGGAACCGGAACCATTGGTCTTACCCTTGCTAGAAGGTAAATTTTCTCACTATTATCATGCTGTTGGAGAGCAGTTGCTACTATGTGAGGCCATTTTTTTTCATTTGTTTCAAGTCTTAGCACAAAACTTTGAGCATTCGTCATTCGGTTACCCATTTATTGAAAAGCATGATTAGTAGATGTTCTTCTGATTTGACCAGGGCAAAGCATGTCTATGGATATGAAGTAGTTCCTGAAGCCATTGCAGATGCTAAAAAGAACGCTAAGCTGAATGGTATCAGCAATGCTACATTTGTTCAGGGAGACCTTAATAAAATCAATGAAACATTTGGGAAGGAATTTCCGAAACCTGACATAATCATATCAGGTTTGTCTTGGCACATATCTGTTAGTACATATTTTTTGTAGCAATTCGAGTTATCCCTGATGAGTAGAATCTACAATGCTTTCACTGCTTTGCTAGATCCTAATAGACATCATTAAATTTGCAGATCCTAATCGGCCAGGGATGCATATGAAGCTAATCAAGTGGCTACTAGAAGTTAAAGCCCCTCGAATAGTGTACGTTTCATGTAATCCAGCTACCTGTGCACGGGATTTGGATTACTTATGTCATGGTGTGGTATGTTTTTGTCCTATTATTGAAGATACCCATTACTTCATATTATTTTAGTTCTTAGTGCATAGCCACTTCAATTAAATACTTAATTTGTCTACAGGAGGAAAAAGATTTGAAAGGATGCTACGAGCTGAAGACTGTAATACCTGTAGATATGTTCCCCCACACTCCTCATATCGAATGTATCTGCGTGCTGGAGCTGTGTTGATTGTCAGTTCTGTTCATCCAAAAGAAACCACAAGGATTTCAAATGCTTCATCTTGCCCTCATTTCCTGACAACTAGGTGATTATTTATGCCTTTTGCTCTATATTTACTGTTGTCCTTTGTCCTTTGATTGCAGAGATTTTCATATACTGGAAAAGAACATTCTTTTCACCTTTGTGATATAAAGCACGAAGTTGCATACTGATGTATTTGTTCTGGCATTTCCAATACTAGCCAAATGCCCTTTGATCGCAACGGATTATTAAAAATAGCAAAATTAAGTCCTTGTTGAAAATATTTTTAATTGGTTGAAACAAGACCTTTCATCTTAAAGAACAAACAAAAATGCTATGCTTAGAAAATTAAAGAGCTGCAGTTCGACTATACTCACCCAAATCCCAATATCTTGTCCCACATGTCAGTGATGGTTGAAGACTCAGCACCACCACTACTTTCTTTTAATAGTAGTATAGATGATGAACACTTGCGTGATGCACACCTGATTGAGAAACCTGTTTTTATTTCTCTTTTATGGTAGACTTGCAGGTCGGAAATTGGATCGCAGTCTGCAAAGCCATGTTGTTGGTGTTTTTACAAGATATAGAGTATTCATTTACTGAAACTCCCACATTGGGTTTTATAGTTGTGGAGGACGCAGCTTAGCTGAATGAGTTCTTCAATTGACATATCTCATGCGGAAGAGAAGAGAGGTTCTCTTAAAGAACAAGCAGATGGGAAGAGGCAACCAAACTACCAAAGTTGATGTAGTTCCTCATCCTCAATTGTGATTGGAGCTACCCATGCGTCAATGAAATGTTGTCAGATCTTTTCTTGTGTGAAAATTTGTAGCTAATGCTAAATTCTCAAACTATCACTGATGGCTATACCGAAGAGTTTTTGAAACTTTTGTAGGGAGCAAAATTAGAAGCAAAATGCAGGATAGTTTGAGAAAGTATGCATTTTTTTTTTGTCGAATCCCCTAAATTTCCAGATTGATAAATTAGTGAAGCTTTAAGGTACAAACTCATTATACAGAAGATACACGAATCACTGTGTCATTGATAAATTGATTGATACTACGAAAGTACTCAGGATTGTTTTTTTTGTTTGAGGAAGTAATGCTAGCACCGCTCAATATGATAAATTTCTATGTCAGAGTATCCTTTTATCACTATATGGATGATTTTATAATTTAATTGTTGGTACGGAGTAAATTGGTGTAGTAGACTATTTACTGAGTAAAAGTAACAAGTTTAATAGATGTACGTTTTATCGCAAACCTTTTTCTTCCTGAAGTGTGAATAACTGAATATATGAACTAAAAAAGAAAAGGAGATTTGGATACTATATATTTTCTCGTATTCAATCTTGAGTCCATATAGTGTTGGATAACAGTTCTATACGGAAATAACTAGAAAAAAATTAGAGATGCGATTATGTATATATTTTGCATACCTGTTCAAAACTCTACAATCCATAAGAGGACATAAAAAGAGTGAACATATGCACATAAAAATATTAACAAACGGATGTTTCCATTCCAAAATACACCAACTTTTATCTGGACAAGAATTTATCCATATTCATTACCAAATATTTCTATTTTTTGAGACATATGTAGTATTTACCAGCTCTTTTGGATATGACAATTGACCATTCATGCCCCTTCATCTTATTAAAAGACTATATGTACATGTTCAAAATTCTGGAAAGGTTCTATTCGAAACCCCACCCCCCCCTCCCCATATGATATAATTTCGGTCAATATTTTTAATTTTTTTTCATTTACTGTGAATGTGGTAATATTTTGATTAAATTTGACTAAATTTTGTTTAAAATTTCGGACCAAAACTTCCGAAAGGTGTATCGGCACCTTCCAATAGAAACGCTGAAAACGAAAAATTGAACCCTGTATATATATCATTTCTTATGTTGTATTTTTATTAAATTTTAAATAGGACAATCAATAAAAGTCATATAAAAAATTAATAATAACGTATATTTAAAAACGGGGGGAATTCGTTTTCTCCGTGAGCCGAACATATGAGAAACTGAGAAGGCAAAGCGGGCTACACATGTCAGCAGACGGCGGCGACCCCTTCGATTCTCTACCGGCGGCGATCGCCGCCGACGTCCTCGGCCGCGTCGCCGACGGGGCCGACATCGCGGCGTACTGCCTCGCCTCGCGGGCCTTCCTCGCCGCCTCCTACGCCTGCTCCCGTGTCCACCTCCGCGCCGCCGCGCTCGCACGGCGCCGCTCCGTCGCCCTCGCCGGAGGGGGCGGGGGCGGGCCCCCCGGCGGCTCCGCCATCCGAGCGGCCGCCGGGAACGCCGCGTCCCTCCTCGGGCCGCACCTCCGCTCCCTCGAGCTCGACGCGTCCGAGGGGTGGGGCCACCCGGACGACGCGACGTGGGTGGAGGAGGGGGAGTTCGACGAGGGCGGCGACCTCCACCTCACGGCCCGGGAGGCCGTGGTGGCGTGGGCGGACACCGCCGCCGGCAACGCTCTCCGGGAGGTGGACGTCGCCGACTACTGGCCGCAGTCGTGCTGGCGGAAGGCGGAGGCGCTTCCTGTCATCTCCCACTTCTGTAATTCTCTCTTATCTCTGCATTTTTTTACTGCTTGTTTCATGTTCCTTGTTGTGATGATATCATTGCTCTGTTTGTTTGAAAATCTCGTGGTAGAGTTAGCTTCTCACATAAGCAAATGCTTGCACAAAGGAAATTTATGGTTAAACCTGTTGCTCTTATATTAGATTTTAGTTTGTGTGTGCAATTGTATTTCACTTGTGCATAATGCTTAAGAAAGTGTGGCTTATTATCCTCCGAAAATTTAGCTTATTCTTGCTGCTCGCCAATCACCAGCCCACTTTGGAAGTTTGAATAAAAAGATGGCCATGAACGATGAGAAACAAGTAGTAGAATCTATTGTACTCATAACATTATCATGTGAAAACTTGATCTTGCTTACCTGATGCTGGAATGCATAGTAAATGTGCATACACTTTATATGTCATCCAGTTCTTGATATTTCAACAGTCAATTTGGTCCACCTTGGTATGGTCTCAGATTGAAACTTCGGCTATACATGCAGGTCATAGTCTTTTGAAATTGCGTCTGAAGAACGCATGGCTATCCGTTGACGGGCTAAAGATAATGCCTAATCTGACTCATCTGACACTTGAGTTCATTAGATTAGATGATGAGGATCTCAACAAATTGAATGAGTGCTTCCCTTGCCTTCAGATCCTCAATCTTATTGGAGTTGGAGGGCTCAAGGACCCTAAGATTCACCTTCATCAACTAAAGACTTGCCACTGGGAGGTATCAAATGTTCCACGGTCATTAACAATCCGTGCGCCTAACTTGGTTCGTCTTGAGCTGAAATGTGTTCGACCAGATATGCTCATTTTGGATACCCCATCCATGTTTACTCTGAAGTTAACAGTTGATAAACTTGGACCAAATGTCCAAGCCGATGGCCTTGTGAGTTTGAAAAATCTGCGGATAGAGTCATTGGATCTAAAGTCCCTCTTGCAAGTATTTGCAGAGAATCATGATATCACTACATTAGAGCTTGAGCTGCCCACTTCTACAAACAAATATGAACTTTTTGAAGCAGTGAAGCCCGAGTATCTTCTTCAGCTGTTTGCCGGCATCAGCGAAGTCAAGTTGGCCCCTCGGTTTTCATGTGAAATGACGCATTGCCTGATGTTATGCACCAGCAACCAGTTTAGAAGCTGTTTGAGGAGACTCCTGTTTCATCTACCGCCATTGAAGGATGTTCCTCATCTTGCACCCTTGTTTAATAACTGTGCTCCATCTTGCGAGGTGACCATTCTTTTCCATGCCGACTCCAGCGATGATATCCGCCAAGCCGCGACATCAGTTTGGACGCTAAGGTATCCGGGGATCAGATGGCAGTGGGGTACCTGGAACTAATCCCTGCATATGTGCATCAACATGAAGATAAAGGATCACATGTGACAGGACTAACACTACATCTCGCACCTTTTGTTAACATAGTAGCCTCTTCTAAAGTATTGCAAGCTGTTATTCTGTTAGGCTTGCTATTGCTAGTAGTACTGATTAATGTTGGTGAGCAGATGGATGCTCAATTTGCTCATAGGGCTTTGTTTGCCCATAGCAACTGTGCGCAAATGTGCCAAGATAACTAACTTTTGGTTGTTTTCTGTGCTTGTACATCCTACTTAATGTTGGAATTATATACTCCTACATTAGAATATGTACTTTTCTCTTGGATACCAGGATATTGTTTGTTACCTCAGCCCATCTGCAGGTTAGCATAACATTTCCTTGTCAACAGTGAACAATATCATCTTCATCTTTTTACCCATCTGCACATGCATACATATGATATGATCCTCTCATGCAGTGATGCCTAATCTGGTAGCAATAATTAATTTAACTATGGCTGTATCAGGATTAGCCGAGTTGGTCTCGGTTTTTTCCCTTCATCTTTTCCCGCCAAAAATGTCTTGGTCAGGAGCAGAGAGGCACTAGTTGCGGCGGCAGAAGGTTGGGCAGCTGCAGCTGCAGCGGCTGCACCACCGCCACCGGCAGCAGCAGCAGCACGACGACCACGAGCAGGCGAACCAGCAGCAGCCGCAGCACTCGCCGCAGCAGCAGCACCACCAGCTCCGCCGCCGCCGCCGCTCCTCCTCCGGCGTCATCTCCTCGAACGCCGACGCCGGCGACGCCGCCTGCTGCTGCTCCGCCTCCTTCTTCAGCGGATGGTACATCCCGCCGTAGTCCCTCTTCCTCGGCGACGTCGTCGTCTCCGCCAATCTGCAATGGAGATGAGGGGGGTTAGTTTTCTTTCTCGTGATGATGATGATGAAGAGGACGACAATGGCGTCGTCGGCGGCGTACATGGGGAAGGCGAAGGAGAAGTTGCTCGAGCTGCCGGCGGAGCCGCTCTCGTGGCGGCGGAAGTCGATGGCCGCCTTTTGCTTGGCCGCGCCGCCGCCGCCGTCGGTGGCGTCCGACCGCGCGCTGCCACCAGGCGACCCTTCGGCGACGGTGGCCAGCTTCCAGTCCGACGTGTGGTCGCCGGCGGCGCCGGCCATGGCCTCGTCGTAGAAGTAGTCGAAATGCGACCTGCTCTCGCCGGCGTAGAAGCCGCAGAGGTCGCCGGACGGCCGGGCGCCGTGGTGGATGCTGAACAGCGACTCGTTCGACGCCACGCTCCACTCCGCCTGCGACGACGACCCCGGGGGCTTCGCCTGGAAGATGGACTTGGGGATCCTCTCCGGATCGAACCCCGCCACCGCCGCCGGCTGCAGCGACATCGTCTGGATCTCCGGCGCCGCCTGCGGCGTCGTCGTCGCCGCCGCCGCTACGTCGTCGACGGTCTGAGCCGGCTGCTGCGGCCACGATGCCCAATCGTCCGGTCTGACCACGGCCTCATCGTCGTGTTTGATAACGTCCCCGCCGTCACCGGAAGCGACGGCGGCGGCCTCATCGTCCGGCGAGGCGGCGACCACCGACGGGACGACGACGCTGGTCTCTACCGCGACGTCCTTGGACACCTCCTTCTCCTCCTCCGACGACGACGACGAAGACGATGAAGATGATTGCCTATCAGGCTTAACGCCGGCCTCCTCCTCCTCCGCCGCCGCCTCATCTGACGGCGGCGGCGGCGGCTCTAGCACCATAGGCGCGGGCAGCTCGGCGGTCTCCGGCGAGCCGGGCTGGGGCTCCATGACCACGCCCTTGCCATTAATTGACACACCATGATCGATCACGCAAGATTACAACACGAAATCAATCGATCGATCACGAAATGTAAGAATCGAATTGTCGGTGGCTCACCGGAAGAAGAAGAGGCCGGCCGGAGCCCCGAGTCGAAATGGAGGGAGGAGTCGAGTCGGTCGGCCGTTTGCGGCTAAAGTGCGGTACGATTCGAGACCCCCAAGCTATTTTTGGTTGACTCGTCACGCTGCAACATTGCCACGCTACGAGCGCGGGAAACCACCCAACTCGCGCCAACAAAGCCACTAAAATCATCGTGCTGTTTGAACCAAACCAAGATAGCGCAGCTCGTGCTGTTTTTTTTTTTTTTGGAAGGATTTTTAGTCCATATGCAGTCTGGGCCGCAATCTATACTAGTGATCCGGCCCAGATTTGAATCGCGGTTTTTGCCCTGTACATCAAACAAGTCTAACCCCAAACTTAAGAAAATCATCCAAAAATAATCTAGTGGTAACAATATTGAAAAAGTCGTATAGGTTGTCCATATTTTCTAATAAGCCATTTTATTAGAGAGTATAAATTAATTCATGGTAAAACTTTTATATATTTATTCGTAGCGATTTAAAAGTCAACAATAAAAAAATACATTGAAAATATCTTAAAATCAAATTTAAAATCAAGTTAAAAATTCAAATTTTAATATTTTGACATCATTTTGATATTTGCTTTGGCTTATTAGGCCAACTGATGGGCTCGAAGGCCTGAGGCAATCAGCATTCAACGCAAGCAGTAAACCGGAATTCCATGGATTCAAAGATCGAAATGAACTGCATGCATCATCTCAACCACGACAAAAAAAAAAAAGGGACGGCAATTAATTAAAAACCACCATGGATCATGTTCATAGCCCAAGCTCTGAAGCTTTGATACAAGAGACGACACGGATTGACATGGCTATCATGCATCAACCATCTTAATTCGAGTAAACCCTCCTAATTAACCCTCTTTGATTACTTAACCTAGGCGATTAACACTATGCTAATGACTTCTTCTACTGGGCCGAAACCTCTCAAAAAAGATAACTTTTGGTGCAACTACGAACACACCAGATGAAACTTGGGAGTGATGGCTAGATTAGTGGCGAGTTGTTGCCAATGGTGATCAGAGCTCGACGACGACGACGACGATCCTAGATGGAGAGGTGCGGCCACCCCATGGCCCAGATGCTGTCCGACACCGGCGGGTGTGCGGCCGGCGCGGGAGACGGTGTAGAAGTGGCCGGCGGCGGCGGCGGCGGCGGCGCCGACGACATGGTGCCCAGCAGGAAGCCGGTGGTGAAGTGGCCGTTGTGCAGCTGGGCCGGCGCGAGCAGCGAGGTGAAGCTGCCGCCGAGGTCGAGCAGGCGGCGGTCGGGGTCCACGGCCGCCAGCGGCAGCGGCGGCGGCGGCGGCAGGAACGGCAGCTCGTACGCCACCGCCGGCGGCATGAGCGGCAGCGGCGCGGACGACGCCGTCGTCGTCGGCGGCGGCGCCGCGGCGTGCGCGGCGTGGGCGGCGCGCTTGCGGCGGCCGGTGCACGGCGCCGGGGCGACCTTGTTGCGGGTGCCGCCGCCGACGGGGACGTTGCGGAGCGCGCCGCCGCGCGTCCAGTAGCGGCGGCACGCCTTGCAGAAGTGGCGCGGCTGCGCCAGGTTGTAGTTGTTGTAGTAGCAGAACTTGGTGTTGGTGGACTCGCACCTCGGGCACGCCAACCCCTCCGCCTCCGTCCTCGCCCCTCCTCCCAATCCTCCACCACCTGCCGCCGCCGCCGCCACCGTCCTCCCCTCCGCCACCTCCATTACCAGAAAAGAAAAGAAGAGATGAAGATTCAAGAAACGCAACAAGACAAAGAAGCTTGGCACTGGCGTTCTCGGTGATGAGGCAAATAAGTAGTAGGAGGTGGAGGAAGAAGACAAGGTGGGTGGAAGTGGAAGAGATGGAGCGAGAGGACATGTACAAGAAGCATCTCTGAGCTCCGAGCTGCTCTCCGATGGCGTCGCGGCGCAGTGTGGCAGCAGGGACAGGTGGGGGCAGGTGGCAGAGAGGGAGACTGGACTGGGTTTGAATGGTCCGGACTTCTATTCTTGGGAAGGCGACAAAAAGCGTTGCGGCTTGCAGGGTTGCTGAAATGAAACCGCCAGTCAAAGCGGAGGGTGGGTTTGTTGGTTGGGTTGCTGCAGAATGTTGCGGCAGCTATGGCTGATCAGTGTTTGATTCTCTTCTCTCCTTCACCTCTCTAGGAGTACTGCACTATAGGACAAAGGATACGGATCCTTGTGTCAGTGCCTGATTGCCAATGCAATCAATGTCATTAGTTTAGTGCTAACTAAGCCCATCACAACAACATGATGGGTGTATTACAAGTAATACCACATTATTTTTAGTCTCCTACTACTCTTTCTATAGAATTGTGGGTTTATCTTTTTGCTTATGCTTATATTTATCAGCTAAAATTTGAATATTTGATCGTTAAATCCAGAGTTGATTTCGGGGTTTTTTTCATCGAAATTTATTTTCAGTTTTTGCTTTTAGATCGCTAAGACACGTATATAAAAGTTTTATTCACAAATTATTTTCCGTTTACAAGTACGCCGAAATGATGGGTCTGATGGTGCTTTTTACTATTGGTAATGAATTGACGTACAAACCTTTTACGTGTTTGAGAAGAGAACAATTTTATTCACTTGCCAAAATGCTATATATATAATCACATGGGAAATATTGCAGAGCACCGTGTAAAACTCGTTTTGAATTAATAGAGCAACCGCGATTAGTACACGGTGGGTAGGGTGTAGTATGCGATTGGAAGGGGTGCCGGGTCAGAATCGAAGTAGTGATCAGGGGTCAGTACTCAAAGTGATCGAATAGACATACATCAACCATGAGGAGTGGCTATTACGTGTACCGTGAATCGCGTGTTTTGCCCACATTCATCCCGCGCGTACTCCGCAAGCGTACGTTTCGATAAAGATAATAGTAGAATTTTAGCGTGACTAAAACGAGATAACTTATTAATGTATGATTAGACTTTAAAATTTTTTATTCCATCTTTTATATAGAATGTTTTTACTAAAACTCATTGTATATATAGGAGTCTAAAAAACATATGCTAAAATATCAAGATGAAATCTACGTCTCAATCAGAAAATATTATGGCCTTAGTCCGTGGAAGTAATTGAACTCCATTAGATATGCCACGATTGATTTAGCAGTGCATGTCGTTTAGTTTCCATAGGAATACATTAGGCCAGTTAACCGGGCACCAGAGCAGGAGAAGACAAATGCAGAATGGTGAACTGGAGTACATGAGTAATACTCCTGTAGTGTACGCTGTGTATTGTTAAAAGCGGCGTATAGAAGGAACGTTGATCTATGATTATTAGAGCAGGTACAATTAATAGCAGACTACAAACCAGTTATAAATATATTTTAAAAAGATAAAAGAAGAGAGAGAAGAGCAGCGGGCTATAGATTTATAGCCAGCTGTAGCATGGGCTCCAAGATACATGTGCGTATGATAAGAAAAACTATGTATTAATTGTGTACTATATGTTATAGGTAACTATTGTATTTATTAGCTATTAAATTAACTATAGATGATTTAGAGCATGTGGCTGGATACTATTAAACTTGCTCTTACTCGAGTGGTAACTGAAATGATCTGAACGTGCTGGGCCGGGAGACAGACAAGAGGGAGGGCAGTACTACTACTGTAGAGCTAGTCTGGAGTCGCAGGGCACGCCATGAAACACAAGGAAGGAGAGGCATCAACTCGTACAGATATGCTCCTGCCCAACTGACAAAGTCCGATACAACCAATCTCACAGCTCTCTCTTCTCTCTCTCTGTCTCTGGGGTTTGGGTTTGGCAAGTCGCAGCAGCAGAGAGAAACGGCAACAGAAGCCAAGCCAAGCCAAGCAGCAGGCACGTCGTGGCGTGGCATGCAGATGGAGATGCAGATGCAGTGCAAAGTGCAGGGGTTGGACTGGGCAACGGCTGGCTGATGCTGTGGATCAGTGGAGTGGAGTGCAGGAAATTGTCAGTTTGCGGCTGCACTCCTGTGGCTGTGGCTGCCACCGGCAGAGGAGGCCAACCGCCCAGATTCCCCTGAGTGCCCGGTCTTCAGCTGCAGCCTCTGCAGCAGCAGCGGCAGCAGCAGCCTCTCCCTCCCACTCCCAGACCTCATGCAGGAGCAGGACGCGGCAGAGTGAGTTGTGTGCAGCACCGATTGCACAACGATGGAGGAGGCCATCCAGGTTTGCAAGACAAAGAGCAAACTGCATATGCCATGCCGAGTACTCCTACAGCAGGAGTAGTAGTAACATCGTTGCAATGAGATGTTGTTTAAATCAGGGACTAAATTTTAGTCCCATGTCATATCGGATGAATTTAGAGTATTAAACATATACTCCCTCATTCCCTAAATGTTTGAAGCCGTTAACTTTTTAAAATATGTTTGACCATTCGTCTTATTGAAAAACTTTTGTGAAATATGTAAAACTATATGTATACATAAAAGTATATTTAACAATAAATTAAATGATAGAAAAAGAATTAATAATTACTTAAATTTTTTGAATAAGACGAACGATCAAACATATTTAAAAAAGTCAACGACGTCAAACATTTAGGAATGGAGGAAGTACTACTTATAAAACTAATTACATAAACGAGAGCTAATTCACGTGACAAATTTTTTTAAGCCTAGTTAATCTATAATTAGCGCATGTTTACTGTAGCACTACATAGGCTACTCATGGATTAATTAGGCTTAATAGATTCGTCTCGCGAATTAGTTCAAGATATAGAATATGTTTTATTAATAGTTTACGTTTAATATTTATAATTAGTGTCGAAATATTCTGAATATGATAGAGACTAAAAAAATTTTATTCCCATCTTGTCCGAGAGACGTGGCAACGTTTAAGAATTCCCAGGACGCTCGCGGTGGCTGCACGGGCCGACCACCGGATATACAGGTGCCGAGGTGCGCGAGCGTCGCGTCGCGTCCCATCCTGTCGCGCCTCCTCCTGATCGGCCGCCCGACCGGCGCGTGCGTACGATGGCGTTTCGCTACCTCGCAGTATCGCAGGAGTAGCTGCGAGTACTGTACATTTCTACCGGTAGGAGTACTCCATTTTTTGCGTTGGAGACGTGTGTCAGCGAACGCGCACATGGACTCGGCTTAGAGAGTACTCCCTCCGTCGAAAAAAAAAAGTGAGTTTCCGTGTCCAACGTTTAACCGTCCGTTTTATTTTAAAAAATCATGAAAAAAAATTTAAAAAGACAAGTCACACATAAAGTATTAATTATGATTTATCATCTAACAAAAATAAAAATACTAATTATAAAAAAATTCATATAATACGGACAGTCAAACGTTGGACACGAAAACCCATGGTTTGTTTTTTTAGGACGGAGAGTACTAGGAGTGAACTACATAAACTCACAACTACAATTATAATAGAAATGATTGAGTACTGAGTATTGCACTATGGCTAAATTGATAAAACAGACGAAGATGAGAATTAAGTAGGGTAACGTAAGAGCGTATAATTAATTAAGTTTTAATTGTTATAAAAATTAAAAAATGACTTATTTGGTATTTTATAGCAATTAGAACATTTTCATATGAAATGTAAAGTTTAGCGGTTTAAAAAATATGCTAATAAAAACCGAGCTAAAATGTGCATCATAATCAGAAACAAATGGGGCCTACATACTCTTATGACTACTGTATAAGTGGTAGTAGTAGTGGTGGTGGTGGGCTACTAGCACATACAATACGATCCGAGGAGCTCAAAATCTACAAAGGCTTGCTTGGTTATAACCATGCTAAAATATTGGCAATACAAAACATAGACAAGTTTTTGCTAGCATCACCATTTTGACAACATTTTGTGTAGTATTGGCAGCAAACCAAACATTGCCAAAATTACCGTTAAAAATACCAATATTTTGGTGTGATAAGTTTTAGCTTCAAACAAAACCAGCCCTAAGTCATTTATATGTATTGGGCTGAAACCGTAGTAATTTGCTAGCAGATTGACCTAAAAGCCCATCACGGCCCACCCATCCCACACTCATCGAAAGATGGAAAGAGTACATTTAACGTCCCTCATCTATGAATCATCAAGTTTCATACATGAAGCTAATCTTGGCCTTGTTGTCGATCGACAGTGGTAATGGTAATGTACGTCCATCCACCTCCACGCCCTAATGCCTATTCCTCCTCAAGGCCCTCTAGGAGGTCACCGGCGATGAATGAATCTCGCTCCACCTTACCTCCCAATATCCCTCCAATTCGATCGGTTTGTGGCCTCGCGGTGTCGCGGGAGAGGGTCAGGTTGAATCTGGCCATGTTCATTCTGTCGAGATAATTATCTGACCAATTGGAGGAGTTGAGCCTGCAGGCTGCAGCTGCTATCATCTATTGGTCCTCTCTATATTTCACTGTAGTGGCTGGCTGCAAATTAGAGCTACGAAATCGGCAACTCGTAAATCGTAATCAGATTCATGTATCTGCTCTGCCTTGCACTGCCACGGTCCAATGTACGGGAATCAGCCTCTCGATCTGTCTCCAAAACTACTCAGCTTTCATCGCTGTATCCATCCATCGATCACCGTCTCCGGGGAGAGTCGCCACACAGGACTACATCGCATTTCCTATCCTACGCCGACATGTTGAACCCCACTTGGCCAAGTTGGGGAAAGAGAACATAAAGTCTCCAATGTCTCTTTGTCCCGCGAAATATATCGCAAACCCCTCTTGTACAAAGACAGGAGACAACTTGTGATGCTTTTGTGGTGGATAGATTTCTTCTTTTTTTTTTCTTTTTCCTCCTCTCTATAGCTGTTTTTAGTCTAGTGAGTTGTTCTGATTAAAACACAGATTTTACCTCGATTTTTATTAGCACGTATTTTAACTGTAAAATGGTGCATTGTATGCAAAAACTTTTATATAGAAGTCATTTTGAAATATTACATAAATTTATTTTTTAAATTTGAATAATTAAAAATCAATTAATTATACGCTAATAATTTTCTTGTTTACATGGCCTAACTTTATCTACCTCTTCAGTGAAATAAACAACACCTAGGATGGATGTGCCATTTCTGCAGAAGGTGGGGGAAAAACTTCGTGCTGAAATCACGGTAAAGATGGAGTGCGACGTATAGACATTGCACAAGGACACCGTGTGTCCTCATCGGTAAGTTGTATTCTTAGGCTGATCAGCCAAATAAGCCCTTTTCAATTCAGGCAAAGCCATTTCATCGGTTGGGTTAATTGGTTAATTGGTTGGATGAGGGATCTTTTATGTCCGGTGCTTGTAGCTCCTAGTTTGTGGTATTGGCATTTTTATTTTCCATGTACAGCCACTAGAGAGTTCCTAGAATTAGCCACCACATATGATCCAACTTCCATGCGGGCCCCTCTGTGTTGGCTGAAAAGCCTAAGCCCAAGCCTCAGCCAAACAAACCATCCGATGAGACCCTGATACTGTTTGTATTGTGACACGTTTCTCTCTGGTTTTCTTTTTTGACCGTCTGCTTTCACGGTAGGTTCCATTCCGTTATCTATAAATAAAAAATTACAGTAAATATTATTACGATGTTTACTGCAGCTGAGGATGCAATTTGCAGAAGTTCTCGCCGATTCAGGTTTCAAGTTATAGGATCAGTTGGCACTTGGTGCTCGTCTTCTTGTTCACTTGTTAACGCCTCGAATACTTCCATTTAACCAAGCAAAGGGGAAGTGACCAAGTTCATGAACTGCATATTGTCTGATACGTAAACAAATTAACCGAGTTGCCGACAGTAGCACAATAATGTATAATTGTCTTGTTAATTACTATAGGAGATCATCTCTGTTTGTTGGTTGTCTCTCCTTTTGCAGGAACATCATATGCCTGCTGGACTCTGAAGTGGTGTGCTGCACTTGTACTGTAGTGTGTAAGATCCAGCTGAATCACACAATCAAATGTAAACAACTACTCCACCAACGTGTGCTAATTAATTGTCAAATTTCATTATGCATACATAAAGTTGTAGCATAGCTGGTTCTCTGTCGTAGTTGCCTTTTGGGTAGCACACGGCACACCAGACAGCTAGCTAGTGTTCTCAAAAGTGGTGCACATGAGCACATATACAATTCTGTTGGAGTATACACTGGTCTGATCAATCAGAGAGAGGATGATGCTTATGGCATTATCTTAAACCTAATGTTATCTATCTGTAGATTAATTAGCATGGCATCAAGCTAAATAAGTGTACATGTCAAAGCTCCAATTTAATGGACATGCAGAGATCTGATGGACATCTTTGCACATTGACTGGAACTCAAAACGTACGACGTATATATGTTTATACGATGGTTTCTTTACATACGTATTTCGTACGTATATGCACTCTGCCAAGTGTCTCCAAGACTCAGCTTTGTTAGTACATCACAGCTTGTGTTTGAGCCAATCTCTTCATGACATAATGTACAATAATAATGCATTTCTTGCTTAAAATTATGCGTAGACTCCTCCGGCACCTAACTGACAATCTGTAATGTATCTTAGGTAATGCCAAGAAGATGAGATTGTAATCAAGAAACTTTTTATCATGATCTGATTCTGCAAGCTAGCAATTGGATCCATAGGGAATTAGCAGGGATCAGCTGGAAACTCACCTAACAGAGATGTCATGTTTGATTTGATTCTGCTTATAAGGTAGGAAATGCTCCCTGCAGGGATTAATTGAAGAATTGTTGTCTGACATTAGACTAATCCACATTTCTCCCTTCAGAGCCCACCAAAAACACTGCAAAAAAAGAGTTTTTTTTGTCTTTAAATAAACAAGATCTTCAAGGACGATTAAGATTACCTTTACATTTTCAAGGGCCACACGCATGCACAAAATTTAGCTTACTTAAGAAAACAATAATTTTGCTAATTAATATAATGCTCAAGAATTTTTTTTCTCAAAGTCTAACTAAGGAAACCATGCATGTTGCATATGGACATTTTAAACGGCAACATGAATTAAACTAACCAGAGCACCTAACTACAATTTGTTATGTTTAATTACCCCCCCAAAAGTGCAACCATATATGGCAACAAGGAGACATCAAACATTGCCGAAATCTGCCATCCATTTTCTAGTGCTACCAACGCCGGTGATGCTTATGTTGCTGACGTGGGGTTAGCCACTTAATTTTTGTCGATTATTTGCTGTTGCTTTTCAATCAGGCACGGCGGAATATTTAAATATACAACATGTCAATTTCCCAAAACCGTCGAAGAGGTTCCGTGGTTTTCTCTTTTCTTCTGCCAAAGCTGATTTGCAAAACCACCGCGGTGTTTCCATTCTTGTGCCAATTCCAGCTGCTAGGTTTTGAAGCTTTTCTGGTTTTCAATTAGGTTCAGTGTTGTAATAAAGTTTCGTACTCCTTAATGACAGGTTTGGTCCAAGTAAGCTACTCCATCGATTTTAAATTAATTATCATTTTAATTTTATCCTAAGTCAAACGATATATCTTTGACCAATTATTATAAATTCGTATAGTTAACAACATGAAATATATTTCTTTTAGTGAATCTAAAAACATGAATTTTATGATATTAAACTATAGGAATTTCGATAAACTAATAAAGCTATAATGACAAGCAATTTGAAATGGAGGGAGTAGTTATACGCTGCATTTTCCAAGCATGCAAACAATATTTCAATGTTGAGAAATTTTACGGTTCAAGTAGTACCGGAGGCATCACATTACACTATAAATGTAATGCGAGGGTCATCGGTTCAAATCCGATAGTCGGCTTTTTTCTCTATCAATATTCCATGAACAAAAATACCTCTTTTTCTCTGAATTAAATGGAGAAGCCAGGATCTATTATGTCGTTCTACCCTACAATTTTGCTAGATACAAAACAATAAAATAAATAATATATATACAAAAATTCAGATGTTGATGAAATTCCATTTTTTTGTGGTACTTTTAGTAGATTTTACTCTGTGTTGGCTCAATCCGAAGGAAATTATGCGGAAGCTTTGCAAAATTATTATGAAGCTACGCGACTAGAAATTGATCCCTATGATCGAAGTTATATACTCTATAACATAGGCCTTATACACACAAACAATGGAGAGCACACAAAGGCTTTGGAATATTATTTCCGGGCACTAGAACGAAACCCCTTCTTACCACAAGCTTTTAATAATATGGCCGTGATCTGTCATTACGTGCGACTATCTCCACTATAGAAAGAAAAATAAGAAAGGATCAAATTTTCTAATATTTACTAGAAAAGGGTGCTTTCTACATAGGGATCGTCAAAACAACGATTTTACCCTATCAGCTGTAGGAAGAAAGGACACTTCACGAGAATCAAAATAGGAAGAAAGAAAGTATGGCCTATACTACTCTATGGATAGAGTTCTCAAACGGACTTTCCCAAACACAAAATACCTCCTTGTATTCGTACTCTCAAATGAGAGTGGAAGAAATTCGACTTTCATATAATATCTTAATAGAATTCCATGTAATGATCAATGTATTTTTTGGATTCTATATTATTCGCATGTCTAGAATCCTACCAAGAGAATACCCCCCATTTTTATGTAATTGAAGTAGGATTGACGAATAAGAAATAAACATAATACTGTTTATTAGTGTCGCATAAAACCCGAAATGGGGCGTGGCCAATTGGTAAGGCAGCGGGTTTTGGTCCCGTTACTCGGAGGTTCGAATCCTTCCGTCCCAGATTTTTTCTGATGAAACGAAAGATGAAATCGTATTGTATTCTGCACGAGACATAAATTTTATTAAAGAGATTTTTTTTCTTTTCTTTCAGTCATAAGTATCTGATGTTTAAGTTAAAATTTGGTTATTGACATTATGTGTAAACCACGTTATATTTATGAATGGAAGGTTTACCCAGGACATTGATAATCCAAATAAATACATCATCAAGATATAGTTGATGATTGGTTTTAAATAAATTAATTTAGTGTTGTCGATATTACTTGACCTATGATAAAGTTGAAGAAGTTTAACTTACGATAAAACTAAAACACCTTGTAATACATAACTAATAATGGTCCTAAATAATTCAAAATATATATAGCAAACAGGATTTTGGACTGAAAAAAGATTGTGAATATATATCGCGGTGCAACATGCAATGATTCGGCAACGGATGTACTATCATAGTACTTTCGTGGATCATGAGGTGCATAATCAAATGGCTGGTCTCGTAATCGGTGAGCAGAGGCCATCCTTATATATGTTGATTCTTAATTCGAGGGAGAGATGGTTGATTGGCATCTCAACAGAGTATTGCTGATCGGTTTGTTTAAATATGAGATTAATTTCAGTGCAATCCTTAGCCCCGCGTACAGCTCGAGATAGCTAGCTAGACAAGTCGTCCATGGTTACAGGGTTGAATAACCTTGTTTAATCGCTGGCATTTGGAGGTCAAACACATTATAAAATATTTAAATGCCTTCGTTACCTTTACTCCGAGTGACATTCATAACCATCAAACCTGCAGACGATAAATTAAAACTTAATATGGTAACAGAGCTATAGTCATAAATTTTTTTCTTAGCTGGTTTTGTTAAGACGATGAAGAGGACGATGACGACGTGGGCATTAGCCTGGATTAAACAAAGGGTTGGGTTAAAGGAGAAGATAAGGCGTAACACCTGTAGACACGATCGCACGGGCTTGACGGCTTGAGCTGCTGCTGCTGCTGCATCTGTTGAATTTCTTCGATCAGCCGGAGAATGGCGACAACGGAAGCTGCCTTAATTTGCAGACGACGATCTGAATTTCTGATTACAGCTGTACTACGCTACACTGTCTGTATTGCTAACTTCCTCCTTTACTGAAAGGTCAGTCAGGGAGAAAGAGAGAGAGAGTGAGCAATCAATCATTGGGCAAAAAGAATCATCAAGCTTAGTAGTTAGTATAGGTTGGTCAAGCTCGAGCTCCAATTCTTTAATCCTCTGAAAGCTAAAAAAGTCCGGTCATCTCTCAACAGTGAACCCTCCTATATGCATACAGCTATGAGCAGCCTCTGACATCTCAATCACATGATCATGAGTGGTTTTCACATAGGTATATATACTTCCATTTGCCTATATATACCCCTCCCACACTTGGAACCTTGGATCATCTCATCTCACACACCCAAAAACCTTAATTTGCTTGATTGCCTCTTGTACTGCAGTGTTGCTTCCTACACTGCCATTGCATATAAATTTTGCACTGCAAGATTAATTCAGTCTGAGAGAACGAGAGAGAACATCATGGGTGGCAAGCTGTTGCCTGCTGCGGCGTTCGCCGGGTCGGCGCCGCCGCTGTCGCAGGTGGCAACGTCGGCGGCGCACGGCGAGGACTCGCCGTACTTCGCCGGGTGGAAGGCCTACGACGAGGACCCCTACCACGCCGTCGATAACCCCGACGGCGTCATACAGATGGGCCTCGCCGAGAACCAGGTCTCCTTCGACCTCCTCGAGGCCTACCTCCGTGACCACCCGGAGGCCGCCGGCTGGAGCACCGGCGGCGCCGGCGCCGGTAGCTTCAGGGACAACGCGCTGTTCCAGGATTACCATGGCCTCAAGAGCTTCAGGAAGGTACGTGAGAGAGAGAGAGAGAGAGAGAGAGAGTTTGCAATTCTTGCTTTGCTTGGCTCGAACGCCATGCATGGTGGACTGATCGAGATGGCGGCGGCTTGCTTGGCCACCATTGTTGCTTGCAGGCGATGGCGAGCTTCATGGGGAAGATACGCGGCGGCAAGGCGAGGTTTGACCCCGACCACATCGTGCTCACCGCCGGCGCCACCGCCGCCAACGAGCTCCTCACCTTCATCCTCGCCAACCCCGGCGACGCCCTGCTCATCCCTACCCCTTACTACCCCGGGTAAGCCACTGTTCCATTGCCATTGCCATTGCCATGCATCTAGCTAGCTTGGGATCGATCGAGCAGAGTGGCAGGCTGAGCTGACATCCATGGCGTGCAGGTTTGACAGGGACTTGAGGTGGAGGACGGGGGTGAACATCGTGCCGGTGCGGTGCGACAGCGCGAACGGGTTCCAGGTCACGGTCGCCGCGCTCCAGGCGGCGTACGACGAGGCCGCCGCGGTGGGGATGCGCGCCCGCGCCGTCCTGATCACCAACCCCTCCAACCCGCTCGGCACCACGGTCAGGCGCAAGATGCTCGACGACATCCTCGACTTCGTGTCGCGCAACGACATCCACCTCATCTCCGACGAGATCTACTCCGGCTCCGTCTTCGCCGCGCCGGACCTCGTCAGCGTGGCGGAGCTCGTCGAGGCGCGCGGCGGCGACGGCATCGCCGGCCGCGTCCACATCGTCTACAGCCTCTCCAAGGACCTGGGCCTCCCGGGGTTCCGCGTCGGCGTGGTCTACTCCTACAACGACGCCGTCGTGACGGCGGCGCGGCGGATGTCGAGCTTCACGCTGGTGTCGTCGCAGACGCAGAAGACGCTGGCGGCGATGCTGTCCGACGAGGCGTTCGCCGGGGAGTACATCCGCACCAACCGCCGCCGGCTCCGGGAGCGGCACGAGCACGTGGTGGCCGGGCTGGCGCGCGCCGGCGTGCCGTGCCTGCGCGGCAATGCTGGGCTGTTCGTGTGGATGGACATGCGGCGGCTGCTGCTCGGCGGCGGCGGCGTCGGCGGCGAGCTGAGGCTGTGGGAGAAGCTGCTGCGCCAGGCGAAGCTGAACATCTCGCCGGGGTCGTCGTGCCATTGCTCGGAGGCCGGCTGGTTCAGGGTGTGCTTCGCCAACATGAGCTTGGACACGCTGGATCTTGCACTCCACAGGATAAGCCGCTTCATGGACACGTGGAATGGAACAAAGCAACAAGCTAGCTGCCAGCAGCAAGAACAGCAATAATTTTTAGTTAATTTGGTTAATTAGTTAGTTAATTGATTAAAGGAAGTATAAGTAATTTTTTTGGTAAATTATTAAAAAAAACATATTTATCAGTTGCAAAGGTAGTTATATTATGGGGATTAAGTGGTGACATACACTTGTTTCATTTATCTATTGTACCATTAGTTTTGTAACCAAATTTGTCTCTCTCACATGTTGGAGAGACGACAAATTAATACAGATAAGACTGGTCTAGCTCATTCAAGGTTAATTCTCTCCTTATGCTCCAGTTAGATGATCATGAGATCAAATCGTCTCTCAGCTCCTAGGGAATTCATGTAAAATTCCTACAAAAAAATTACATAACTCCTTTGTTAATAATGGATACTTTTTCTTGCTGTGATTTTTTTCCCTACGCATGAGTACACTTGGTACTTTTATTATTGCTTTAAAAAAATTTAAAACTCTAAAATATTACTGTTACAGTAACAGTAAGGACTAGGATCCAACAGGGGTTCAGTATTTCTAAATTGAAAAATATTTTGCAGCAACAAACTGCCATTCCCTCGAAAAAGAAAAAACAAACTTGCCATGCTCCCCATCTGGTTGTTCAAGTGATATCCTAACTGCATATCACTCTGGACATTTTTTTAGTTGATTGACTTTTGTGGTTCAGTTTTGCTTTGACTTCTTTTCATTTATATACCGTATGGTTGAACTGTAATTATCAAAACTACAATCAATTCTGAATCCTTTCCAGAAAGGTCCATGGTTGAATGGAAAATAAAGCCCCAAATATAAATGTCAACCCAACCCTACGTTAATCGGTCACCCTCGTCGAATAAATAGCACTTCTATAAGGAACCACCCATGTTAGGATAAGAAAAATTATTTGGTTGAGATCATCATTTCGATGTAACTTAATTTTGGAAGCGCATCATGTATGTACAACGTCAAATCCGAGTGTCCTGGCAATGATCATATTAAATCAGTATGACCATGTCAATGAATTTTACTATTGGATATAAAATGGATTTTAGTCACTTGAGTGCATGTCCCTCATATACCTCTTTTTTCTTAAATTAAATATGAATGAATGGCTGTGAAAATTTTCAAAAATAAATTTGACAATGCAGAGTGATATTCTTCACTCCACAAAAACTCAAGTTCAAACTTGATCTACACACTAAAAAGGGACAAATTTGAGCACCTATTACCCAACAATGTTTCTGCCATGGCATCTCCCCTCCCATCTCCGGTGACTTGCGTGGCTGTATTTATGAACCCCTGAATGTTGAGTCCATCCTTACCTTGGCGGCTTGGCTAGAGGCGTGTGGTAGATTTTGATGGTGGCTATTCAAACTTTATACTATAATATATCAGTGATGAAAATAAGATATATCTCGCTAGTTTTAAGTTTAAATAGAGAGCTATTTTCTAAAACATGGGTATTCCGTATTCAACCGAATAAACCCACTTAACACTTCACTTCCGATGTCAATTGCTAGTAGGAAATTATATGTAAATTTTGGAGTTTAGCCTAATGAATATGGTAGTTCCGCTCTACTCTCTTTTTCGTAAAATAAATTAATTTTTAGAGTTCAAAATTTATCTCAAAACAGGTTGATTACACTCTTAATCATAATTAGTACTCCCGACAAAAATGCAAGACATATATTCTTTGTCACCAAAATCAAGGAGGAATTAACTCAACCTCATGTAACAAAATCAAAGAACTTTATACATGCATACAACAAATGAATATTGCCAGATGATTCCTTAGGTTATGATCTAGCATATAGAAACTATAGTCTATAAATATAATCATCTCTTTTAGAAAAACTAAAAACTAAAAATATGCCTAATACTTTTGGATAGAAGAAACATATAAATGGATAAGTTTTGTCTATTTAATAGGAGTATATGTTATCTACTTAGTACCCATCGATACTCTACTTAATTTCTTATTAATACTGGACACTTTCTTTCTTTCTTACTAATTTTTTTTAAGAGATAAGCCTTTTTATTTTGGACGGGGAGTATGTTTGAATTTTTTTAAACAAAATTATACGATAGAGTACAGACGCACACGTACATATTATATGCACGTAATATCTGTGGACACCATGATTTAAACTTTGATGGGTGAAGTCATATGCACCATAACTCCACCACCACACCACACCACTTGTGTTTCTCCAGTATGTTTGGATCTGTTCCGGCTCAACCTCTGCTGACACGGCCTAGCTTGCAGCAGCGAGACGACAGAATTTCCCATGCCAGCCTACCATGGCGCGACAAGAATAGCACGGGAACCAAAAGAGATCTCTCGCCCGACCAGTCAGCAGCAAGCAGCAACCACACTAGCACCAACACGTTAGTTACACGTAGGCACACCCAGGCAACGCAGGAACCCGGCAAATATATTCCCCTGTCTCGTCTCGCCAATTTGCCTGAATATGAATTGCCAGGTTGGCCTGATATTTGCTGTTCCTCCCCAACCACTGCAAACCTCACCGATCAGTAGCAGCAGATCTCGAGTTTAATTTGTTGCATTGCGTATCACACATCTACCCATGCGTGCATGGCTAGCTTAATTACCTGTGTCTGATCGCATTGGGAGATCTTGTTGGGAGAAACATCGGCAAGGGAAACTTCAGTACAGCGCAGCTTCAGCTGCTGCTAACTATAATTAACCAATTAAGTAGAGATGGCTGCTCCCTTGAGTACTTAACCGTACACTAATCATCGATTATGCACGGTCGTGTAAAGCGTCAGCACGGCATATGCATGATTGATTGATTGATGATTGGTTGGCTTATTATGCCCCATTAACTGGAATGCTTTGAGTTACGAACTGATCGATCGATCCAACTGCATTTTGATTGGCAATTTGGCATTGGAGACGAACTGACGGCGTAAGTCCACTTGGCTGATCGCGAGCCGCGTGCAGCGATCGATCGATCGATGCGCAGGACAGGTCAGGTCGCCGTCGATCGATCGATCGATTCCACGACGTTGTACTCCTCCATTGCTTCGTCTTCTCCGCGTGTGAAGGAATAATAATTCGATCGAGCGCACAGGTGTTCGACACTTCGATCGAGCATATGTTCTTGGAGAATTTGCTGAGAGACTTTTCGATCGATCGATCTGACCCGGCCGATGTGCAGACAAGACATTATTGACTGGAGAATCTGCAAGTTTCAGGGGCTTTTTGCGGCGGCCGGAGAGGATTTTTGTACTGTCTTAATCACGGGCTCACATCTCCAATAACAATACAGTTGTCAACCTCTGTCTCTAGAATTTAGGTTACTGGTTGTGCATCCAAAAGCTAAGATGATGGGGATGCAAAACATTTCAATGGTCTGAAGTTTTTGTCTAACTTTTCCACAAAAGTAGTCACGTCAAAAAAGGTTTTGCTTAAGGTCTATTCGAATAAGCTGTCTAGCTGATAAAATATATTACTCCTTCCATCTCTAAATGTTTAATGTCGTTGACTTTTTAAATATGTTTGACCGTTTGTCTTATTCAAAAAATTTAAGTAATTATTAATTCTTTTCCTATCATTTGATTCATTGTTAAATATACTTTTATGTATATATATAGTTTTACATATTTCACAAAAGTTTTTGAATAAGACGACGAACGGTCAAACATGTTTAAAAAAGTCAACGGCGTCAAACATTTAGGGAATGAGGGAGTATAAAGTTAACAAATAAATTAGAAATGGTTGTCTAAGAAATAGTAATGTATATAGTTTTTACGTCCATTAGCTCAAAACAAAAACGCGAATATTAGGGAAAGACCTAATATCAAATAATTAAAAGGGGTGAGGCTTCGAACCTAGATCGTCTAGTCCACCACCTTGTGGAGCTAGCCGGAAGACCCCTGGGCGTTTCTCGTCCATTAGCTCAAAACAACGGAACCTATGGTGAGAATTGTGGTCATCCCAAATGGTTTATGCTTAGGAACTCAACTCTGACGGCTTTATGCTAGTGTGCTAGTCTAATACAAGAGGATACGAAGAACAAGAGTCATGCATAATAGAAAATCCAAGAAATGCCATCGACATGCATCTGATTTTACGTTTGAGAGAATCCCTTATATGCCACTCCAAATTAACCAGCTCCCGTATATGCCACTTCAACTTGGCTTCTCCCTTTTATGCCACCGATTCAAGTTTCTCCTCCCTTTTATGCCATTCCCGTCAATCCACCGCCAGTTGACCGTTAACTTTATTGTAAAAGGACACATTTGCCCTTGAGAATTAGTATACAACCAATAATATGTATTTTAGTACTAATATAGCTTCTTGATACAACATATGAAAATTGATTTTTTCTGCATCACATGCAATTTTAGCCATTACCATCACAAATAAATTTTCAATATAAGCATGAAATATGCAGTTTTCCAATAATATTTTTAATATAAATAGCATTTTTCACTAGTTCTAACAAAATTTTGTTTACTCAAAAAGGATTTAAAATAAATTAGTTATGATTTTTTGAAGTTTACACATTTTTTAGTTGAGAGGGTATATTGGTCATTTAAGAAAAAAAACTAACATTTGACTAACAGTCAACTAAAACTATAGTGGTGGGAGTGGCATAAAAGTGTGAAAAAAATTGAACTAGTGGCATATAAGAGAGAAGCCAATTTTAAGTGGCATATAAGGGAACTGGTCAAATTCTAGTGGCATATAAGGGATTCTCTTTTACGTTTTGCCATCAGCGAGTGTAAGTATAAGAAAATACGGTAGTACAGGTATCTTTATATAAGAAATGTCATCACCGTCACCCTTCCGTTCATGGGTTTCTGTTAGCAAATGTTAATTTTATCCAAATTAATAACCAAATTGCCCTCATTGTCATAGACCAAGGTCACAAACCTTACCAAAGCAAATTTGGGAAAGACTTTGGTGGGCCAAAGAAAAGTAGATCTTTCCTTCCCCCGGCAGCAGTGGTGCTGTCTGGCGGAGTGGCCGACGGGTGTTGGCGCGGCATACAACCCGCTTGAAAGTCACGGTGACGGCACACACGTAGGGGTTGCCTGCGTGGAGAGGAACTCTGAAAGATAATTTTAACGGTATCAAAATAAGTAGGACAATACATTGTGTACAGCCTTCACAAGGACAAACGGGTCTTTCCACTGTGGCTAACGAAAGCCCATGAATGGAACAGTGACGACAATAGCACTCCTTAAACAATGACGTTTAATGACGTTTGTATGGTCGTATTCCCAGAAACTTGCAATAGTCGAGGGTAAAACGTGAAATTAATTAGACTCTTGTCAATGGTATATTTTGGATTATCTCCATATATAATTATTTCTTATCATGTTCAAATCAACAAAAACACATGTTAAACAAATGGCAGGTAGCTAGATTTGCACAAAT